TGGGAGAGGGGAGGGGGGGGGGGGTAAATGGGAGTGAGTAGAGGTAACAATGGGGGAGTGGAGTGGAGTTGGGGCAACAATTGGGGGTTATCTTTAGTGGGGAGTGGGGGCAACAGAGGGCCATATATAGGAGGTGGAAGGCAGTGTGGGTCATAACAGGAGAGGGGGAGTGGGGCAGCAATTGGGGATTAGGGGAAAATGTAAAGAGGGGAGTTAGGGGCAGCAGTGGGGGAGGGGCAACTATGGGAGTGAGAGTCTTGGCGACAACAAACTGAATTTCAGTACCCCAACAATAGAAGATGGGGGGGGGGGTTGAAATTAATAGCACGCACAATCTACTTTCAAGTTAAATAAAAGACTTTAACAAGGATGGCTTAGAACAACTAACATTTGAAACTAATAGCATTAGCAAGACCAGTTGCATAAAACAAAACAATGAAGGCTGAGAACACCTCAATGTATATTAAAGACATGTTACATGCTTCTCTGTTATCAGTCCACCGAAGTGGTAATGAACAAAGCCCACCACACCTTACCAGTATCCCCCCCAACCCACTCTACCTCAACTCTTTTATTCGCAGCTGTTTGCTAAATAAAATAATCTTGCCTAAGAACTGTGTATAACCCAAAGTTTGAGCATAAAGGCTCAAACATTGAGTTTTTATTATAGGGGCTTATCTCTTTTATTCACACGATAATCCCCTTCCCCCCCCCCCCCCCCCCGCCACTTACTACAGACCGGAAACGGGTGACTAATACCCCGCAGGACAAGGTACAGTCAGACCCCGGCCATTGAGAAAACGTGTTGATGTCATTTCACGTTGGTGGTTGTAGGCCACACGTACCTGGACCTAGTTCCCCTCCCTCCCCCAACAGGTGAAGTTGTGCCCCGTAGGCCGGGCAATTAATCAACTGACCCTAGGGCTCCCCCCGTAAGCTGACCACTGGCCAGTCGGGGTCAGTATGAAGGGAGTCGTTAGGTTGAACTCTATCAATCAACGCCTGTGATGTTTCTGCTAGCTAGTCAACGTGTTTCTTGTTTTAGGTTTTCTTGCTCTACATGTTGTTGACTTTGAGGCGCTAATATATATATATATATATACTATATATATATATATATATATATATATATATATATATATATATATATATATATATATATATATATATATATATATATATATATATATATATTTGAGTGTGTTTGTGCATGTGCAGCCTTTCCTGGATATAGTCTACTAGTTGGCAGTATTTGACGTGGGAACTAACAAAGAATTTATTGAACTGTACAGTCATTACAAACGTATGCTATCTGTTCCTTTTCTCTTGTTGCCCCGAGCTAACGCTGTAAGTGAAAGGGATTAAGTTCTGTCACCAGCTAATCCTTTCTTACCATACTAGACTTAAACAAAGCACGGCTAGGTTGGTGTAATCATACAATCAATACATGGACGTAGAAATGTAACGTGTAATAAAACAATAATTACATGGACGTAGAAATGTAAGCTGTAACCACAGAACCATTACATCCACGTAAAAATGTAATGTATAATCGGACGCGTATGTGTACGTTGTGTGTTGTTGACGTTTTGTGTGTGTCATCGTGGACTTTACCTTGTCAGCTGTTTGTCTTCACCCCGTGCTTAATGATGTACTTTTGTTGGCGGGGGTGGGGGTGGGGGGCTCTTGAAACTTCCGGGGGGGGGGGGATAGTTAGTAAAAAGACATAATTTCTATTTTGTCCGGCCGGGGGAGGGGGGGGGGGTAAGGGCACACGAAAGGTGTTTTATTTTTTGCCAGGGTAAGTCACATTTTAAAAAAAACTATTAAAAAAACTCCTTCATTTTAAGAAGCTACCATCTATGTTATATTATCGTAGATAGACTAATCGCTTTTAAATGTAAATGAAATTCTCGCTAGGAAATCTTAACATATCCACAGGGCTTGATTCAGTTTTTTTGACAAGTCTCACTGTCTTGACGAGTCTCGCTGTCTTGACGAGTCGTCTGTTTCAGCTGCGACCTTTTATCGTCAATCTGCAACACAGATCACATTACCCTCGCGTCAGATTAAACGACCGTAAAAGGTCCATCATGGACTGTATCTAGTCCAGTGGTTCTTAACCTTTTGGAGGTGCTGAACCCCACCAGTTTCATATATGCGCATTTACCGAGCCTCTTATAAAGCTCTAGCGTCCGCACTGAAAAACATCATATGAGTCGGGGGGAAGGGGGGTGTCTGGACCTCCCTGAGGGGTGTCTCCCCTGAGACTGACTCACCGAACCCCTGGGGTTCGATCGGACCCAGTTTAAGGACCACTGATGTAGTCTGCTGAGCAGCCGCTTCACTGCTACGCCCATTTCCCCTTGCCGTGTTAAGAAGGTTAGAAAAATCTTCAGCTAAATTGTCCCATCGATAAAATATACCAGCTATGGAAACAAAACAGTCTGCATGTCTTATGAAGATAAAATATCCAAGGTTAAGATATAATAGCCTTTATGAAATTTGTTTAAAAAGCCTGTATGATGATACAAAAGGCTAGATGAAGATAAAATGACTTGTGTGATGAAGAGAATTATTTGAAAAGTTTAACAGGAATTTTTTTTTATTCCGGCTAAGAAAAAACCCAAAGATTAGGTGTTGGGCAGGAACTATCCAAAGAGAAATCAGGCCAAAGTTGGCTAAAAATAACCTACGGTGAACGTGCGATCCCTTATATTTCTGTTATAATTTGGAATTCTATTGTTTGGAACTTATTATAAAATTAATTGTAATTATAATAAGTAAAGGCACGAACGGGAAAAGATGATGTAATAAAAGCTTGTTGTTATAAAAACTTGTATATCTTTATGATTACCATGTCATTTTCCAAAATTAGAAGTAGCGTTAATAATTCCTGTTTCATTAAGATAACCCGTCAAATTAAATTAATCAAGAAAAAAAAATCAGATGAACTAATGTTTTGGTTGACGCATTCGTTGAAAATTTCATTGTGCACATGAGTAAATCATAAAGGAAGCCAATCCACAAATCAGAGGCGTAGCGACCCTTCCCGGCGCCCGGGGACAAACTTTCGATTTGCACCCCCTCAAACTTTCGATTTGCACCCCCCCTCTCATCATATCGATTTGCACCCCCCCCCCCTCAGGATTTCGATTTGCACCCCCCTCAAGCTTTCAATTTATTTTTCCAACCCATTTTGGCGCCCCCTAAGGTCGGCGCCCGGGGACATATGTCCCCGTTCCGCATATGTCCCCCGCCCCCCCCCCCCCCCCCCTCGCTACGCCTCTGCCACAAATGCATTAACGTTTCAGCGCCCCACACAATTCCCATTTTTAGATCTCCTGTTGATAAAGGGAAGTAACCCTGTTAGGTAGATTTTGCTGAAAATATTAATTGTGTTGTTTCCCTTACACTGAAAACAAAACAAAAAAAACAATAACATAGCTATAGCTAAATGTTGGCAAGGTTGATTTTACGGAAAACATCGACAATATTTGCTAATATAGGCCATTATTAGGTGTATTGATAAAATGTCATTACATGTTGCAAAAATATTATTTTGAAAATAAATTTTAAAATGCACAAGTTTGACTTTCCAGTCCCACTTTCTTCTAAATCTCTCACTCCACCTAAGCGCGTGACACCGTTTACGAATTACCCCCACCCCCATCCCACTACATACAACAATTCTAACAACTTCTCCATAAATTATTTCAGGCTCCACAACCTCCTGCCATATTTATAGATGTGTTCTTCAATGAGCAGCCAATATGAACATACATGTTTCGCACGGCGTAACATCCTATTTGTGCCAAATCTGGCCAGTTCTGCCATTGTTGGTGTTGATGGTGCTCTCCCCTCTAGTGGCGCTACTCGGTAAAGCCGGCGCAGCTGACTGTGTGGTGCAAGTACCAAGTAAGGAAATTAAAAGTTTAAAGCAATATATTATATATAGATCTACATTATATATATGTGTGTGTGTGGGGGGGGGGGGGGGGGTGGATGTGTGTGTGTGTGACTTCACACATTTGCATTTTTTAAAATTAAAAAGTGTTGTTAAAAGCTAAATTGATAGTAAATTGGGTTCTATTTTCCATTTCTTTAAGTTACTTTTAACTTTAAGAGGTTTTTGCAAATTGTTTCAGAAATCTATCAATATACTTGAATATAGATCTAGATCTACCCTGTTTTGAAAGGGTGGGTGGGGGGGGGGGGGTAAACTATCGTTTTAGGTACGTAAAATTGCCCGCGACTAGTAATGTGAATAAAAGGTGACTCCTTAAATTTTAATAATAATTTCACGTTTTGAGTAGGATTTATGTTTTTAAAAATACAAAAATGTTTCCTTGTTTCATTTATGTACCTGTTTTTAAACTATTGAATTAAAACTTTTCAGTAATAAATGAAAACTAGCCATGTTTTCAACAGATGCAACATTTCTCATTTACTGTAGCAGCCATCTTGTTGAAGTCTTTTTTATAAACTTATAGAGCGAGATTCAGGGGAAGCCACTCTAACTTACAGATGGCCGCTTTTTATATAGCAATTCCTGCTCGCAAACACTGCTGTTTAAAGTTAATTTCTTGCCTATATTGATATATTTAGCCATTGATTTAGGTTTATTATTCATTTACTATAATATTTGACACAAATATATCACAATATACTTCTATTAAAGTATAATTAAAGCCTTGACATTGAGCTAACTTTTTCGTACATTACTAGCAGTGGGCGATTTTACGTAATTAAAACGATAGATTACCTGGGGGGGGGGGTGTTGTAGGCTGAGCTATGACGTCATTTGTGGGGTATCTGTCTATGTTGATGATGTTAGATGGTTGGGAGGTTAAAAAAAACCTCTAAAAAACCTATATATATATATATATATATATATATATATATATATATATATATATATATATATATATATATATATATATATATAATATATGCCTAAGGTAGAAATATATGCAAACAAGTTGACTTTTATTTTGCAGATGGGTATCAACAACAAAAACATTATTTTTTCCACAAAGACCTTGACCTGCCAATTATCATAGAGGACAGCAGTCGTATTTCTCATCGCATTACAAACAGAATACTTAAAATACTTTTAGAGGTAATTTTGTTCTAATCCAGGTTAATTTATTTGTTGGTTAACACTAGATCTAGGTTAAGGGATGAATTTGGTTTACTTGCATTTGTATATTTGAAGAATTTATTATATATATATATATATATTAATAATTATTATATATATTAATAATTATATATATATATATATATATATATATATATATATATATATATATATATATATATATATATATATCAGACACAAAATAAATGTGTACTTTTTCTTATACACTTATATATTTGTTTATTTTTATACACACAAACAAATAGACCTAAAATGAAAAAATCCATTTTACATTTCAGAAAGTAGCAGGATATCAAAGTGTAAAGTTGTATCGCTGTGATGTATATGACAACCAGAATATTACAGCCATCTTGGATAGGGTGGCAGGAATAACCAAATCAAAGTAGGTTCTAGTTTCCACTAGTATTTTTTTTTACTCAGAAAGTAACTTATAATTATTTCCCTTTAGTTGAATTAAAACTTGAAATTTTGAAAGCTGTCTTTAGAGTAAATAAACTACTTAAAACTCACAAAACAAATTGAAGATTATCATATAAGAGAGAAGTAAGTTATCCACTGATTTAAGGAAGCTGTTATTTGTTGGTCAGTCTCTGAATTAGACTTTTTTTTGGCCATTCGTTGATTTAAGAAAGCTGTGTTTCGTTCTTTCTGTCAGTCACTGTAGGTTCTAGTTTCCACTAGTATTTTTTTTTACTCAGAAAGTAACTTATAATTATTTCCCTTTAGTTGAATTAAAACTTGAAATTTTGAAAGCTGTCTTTAGAGTAAATAAACTACTTAAAACTCACAAAACAAATTGAAGATTATCATATAAGAGAGAAGTAAGTTATCCACTGATTTAAGAAAGCTGTTATTTGTTGGTCAGTCTCTGAATTAGACTTTTTTTTGGCCATTCGTTGATTTAAGAAAGCTGTGTTTCGTTCTTTCTGTCAGTCACTGTAGGTTCTAGTTTCCACTAGTATTTTTTTTTACTCAGAAAGTAACTTATAATTATTTCCCTTTAGTTGAATTAAAACTTGAAATTTTGAAAGCTGTCTTTAGAGTAAATAAACTACTTAAAACTCACAAAACAAATTGAAGATTATCATATAAGAGAGAAGTAAGTTATCCACTGATTTAAGAAAGCTGTTATTTGTTGGTCAGTCTCTGAATTAGACTTTTTTTTGGCCATTCGTTGATTTAAGAAAGTTGTGTTTTGTTCTGTCTGTCAGTCACTGTGAACGCCCCAGACCCAACAACAATGGTGTGCCGGACACTATGGTCAACCTGGAGACGTGGATGGTGGCTGGATTTAATAAAGGACCTTGGCTGGACACAGGAAAGCTGCTGGACGCTGGGCCACTGGGGCCTCAGGGAAGGTACACAACAACATGGCTGTCAACAAAATTTGTTTGTAGAAACGAGAGTACTCATATTTTATAATTTAATTCTGGTAGAGATACTGACACAAGAAAAACATCTCTAAACCATGCAGATGCTTTTATAAATAAAATAAATTCCATTAAAAGTTTGTTATTACTAAGTAATTCACAAATCCACAAGCTTTGAAACAACAGAATTTCATAAGCTTAACAGTATCTGTTATGACTAACAGCTTATAAAAATGTACTCGTCTCAAGGTTTTGATTTTATCTATACATTATCATTAGAAAAAATATAAATAAATATGCAATGTTACAAGTTATGTATAAAAATTTAGGAAATTGGAGTTATTGTACTTGGGTAATTGAGTCATTAGAGTTACAATTCCTGAGTAGATATAATGTGGATGCTGCATTGATACATTTTTTATTTCTCGTTCTGAAGAATGGGCTGGTTTGTTCCAACTTCTGTTGTGGACTCGATGTGGAAGAAGAACAAAATTGTTGTTGACCATTGGAAAGCTTTTGAAAAACAGAACATAGCCAGAAAGTTCTCTTGGTGGGGGAAGGAGAAGCTACAGGAAACCAAACCTGACTACCAGTCTCATGCCTATCTCAACAAGATTTGTCAGATAAATCCTAATCAAAAGCAAAGAAACTGTGCCACGCTGTTCGCATCTTATCTAGGTAAATTATTTAGCACATTGTCTTATAGTGTTGTTGATTTAAAATGAAATTTAACTTAATTAAAAAGAAAAATTATTTTTGTCATTTAAAAGAAGTATTGTAAAACTGAATTCGCAATTAAAAATATTTGAATACATTACTTCTATGTTCTTCTTCGTTCTAAATGGCTAAGACATCCAACAGCATGTACCATAAATGTTTTGAAATTGTTCTTCTTTCTTCTTCGTTCTAAATTTTAGTGTTGGAAGGGAACCCCTCCAGCACAATTAAGTATACATGTCAACTGGTTATGCCCCATTGGGGCCATTAACTCCGATTTCAGCCTGCTTTTTTTTTTGGATTTGCTTTCATAGCTTTTGTCCAACGAAGAACAAACTACAAGGCTGCAGTTGTTTTTTTGGAGTTGTCTCTCCTAGAAGAATGGCTGTCCTCAGCTAACGAGCCTCATCTGCCAGAGAATACATTACTAATTATCTTTAATTAATATATCTAATCAATTTTTTTTTAATTAGCATAAAAATTTGAAATGGTTACAGGTGTAGATGCTGGCGTGCTGCGGTCACAAATAGAGGCACTGAATCTCCGAGTTGATATTGTCTGGCTGGAAAACAAGCACCACACTTTTATCAAAGAACTGGATCCCACTCTACCAGTCCTTTTCTTCACCTGGCATCCCAGTAGTTTGTTAGCATCCGGTAACTACACCAGAGTTCACTTACCAGAGACTCACTCACCACATAAGGATGTGAGTTTTTGTTTTTATATTTACTTTTGTTAGCATTCGGTAACTAAACCAGAGTTCACTTACCAGAGACTCACTCACCACATAAGGATGTGAGTTTTTGTTTTTATATTTACTTTTGTTAGCATTCGGTAACTACACCAGAGTTCACTTACCAGAGACTCACTCACCACATAAGGATGTGAGTTGTTGTTTTTATATTTACTTTTGCTAGCATCGGTAACTACACCAGAGTTCACTTACCAGAGACTCACTCACCACATAAGGATGTGAGTTGTTGTTTTTATATTTACTTTTGTTAGCATCCGGTAACTAAACCAGAGTTCACTTACCAGAGACTCACTCACCACATAAGGATGTGAGTTGTTGTTTTTATATTTACTTTTGTTAGCATCCGTTAACTACACCAGAGTTCACTTACCAGAGACTCACTCACCACATAAGGATGTGAGTTGTTGTTTTTATATTTACTTTTGCTAGCATCGGTAACTACACCAGAGTTCACTTACCAGAGACTCACTCTCCACATAAGGATGTGAGTTGTTGTTTTTATATTTACTTTTGGTTATGACTAAAATCTATTGGGTGGTGTAGTTGCATAGTAAACTACACTACTTCTAACTTGAAAAAAATTGAGCTGGGTGTTCAGACTTCAGTCTGGAGGGTGACACTTAGTTTGATGGTACTTTACTTTCATTTAGAAAAAAAAAGGCACAGGATCAAGGTTGCGACACAAGGCAATGTGGGGGGGGGGGGGGGGGTGTTGGATTTGATGGCAGTGTTTCTTCCAGCCTTTTTTCTCCGGGGGGGGGGCACTTGAAATTTTTTGGGGGGGGGGGGGGGGGGGCGGTAGATTTTCATTGGGGGGGGGGGGGGCGGACACTGTTAAAAGTATATATTTTCTATATATAAATATATAAATTTCATTTCGTTTGGGGGGGGGGTAAAAAATTTTCAAGGGGGCTTTGCTCCCCCGAAGAGATGCCTGGAAGAAACTCTGTTTGATGGGGGGTGGTTTCTTGGTGTGCGCAGCAGAAACATTTTGCAATCAGAATCCTGGGTTGTCATGTTGTAATCTATGTGACACCAAGCCCAGCTGTTGGTTTATTTTCCTGAATAATGCCGGGTTCTTTTTAAAGCTGAGTGAACTCAATGAAATCTTTTAACTAAGGCTGACTTTTGTTACATGATCTATATTCCTCAAATATTTGGTCCCATAAAAATGTCTTCATTGACAGAAATGTTTTGATCAAGTCTGACTTTTGATCACCATTTCTGGAACATTTGGTGCTGCAAAAACATCTTTTGTCCATTTTTTGTCAAAATAAATGTTTTAATTGATTCTGACTTTTGATTTCCATTCCTCAAATATTTGCCTCTATAAAAACATCTTTTGTCTACTTTTTGTCTAAATTTTTTAATTCTGACTTTTGATTTCCACTCCTCAAATATTTGCCTCTATAAAAACATATTTTGTCTACTTTTTGTCTAAATAAATTTTAAAATTCTGACTTTTGATTTCCACTCCTCAAATATTTGCCTCTACAAAAACATATTTTTTAACTTTTTGTCTAAATAAATGTTTAATTCTGACTTCTGATTTCCACTCCTCAAATATTTGCCTCTACAAAACCATCTTTTGTCTACTTTTTGTCGAAAGAAATGTATTAATTAAGTCTGACTTTTGATTTCCACTCCTCAAATATTTGCCTCTATAAAAACATCTTTCATCTACTTTTTGTCTAAATAAATTTTTTAATTCTGACTTTTGATTTCCATTCCTCAAATATTTGCCTCTATAAAAACATCTTTTGTCTTCTTTTCATCTAAATAAATTTTTTAATTCTGACTTTATGTTGAAATAAACTTTTTAATTAATTTTAATTGATTTCCACTCCTCAAATATTTGCGTTTATAAAAACATTTCTTGTTAACTTTTTGTGGACAGAGCCCAAGTGACTGCGACTTTCCTGTCAACCAGCTGACTAAAGTTCTGTGGGAACCAATCAAGTCTGGGGCACCAGAGGCCTATCACATCATCTCCAAGCTCAGCTTCTCAGACCTGGAGTACGACGCCCTCATAGCACAGCATCCAACCTACAGCGAGGATGAAATCGCCTGTGATTGGGTAAATGCTAATAAGGAGAAGTGGGACAGATGGCTGCCTGAGACTTTGAAAGAGAAAACTAAAATCTACATTGGTGGGTTGTTTCCCTTGAGTGGGAAATCTTGGGCTCAGCCAGGACTTAAAGAAGGTGCAGATAGTTATACATTTCTTAATTAAGTCTTTTAAATTTCTTAATCAAGTCTTTTAAATTTCTTAATTAAGTCTTTTAAATTTCTTAATTAATTTTTTAATTAAGTCTTTTAAATTTCTTAATTAATTCACAAATTATTTTGTTGCAAAGGTAGTGCAGAAACTCTAGCGTTAAAGATACTTAATTCAGATACACTATGTTATCATTCCTTACTTTAAAATTTCTTATTGTTTTAAAAGTTTTACTTGTTAAATTTAAACCAATAGGAATAGGAGCGACCGAAGTTTTTTGGATTTTAACAAAATGTGATTTAAGTAGGCCTATTTTTAGCATTAAGGTATAAATCTTGGTTAACAGAATAATAGAAATTAAATAAATACTCTTATATATTATTACATTATTTCAGGTGCCAGTTTGGCTGTTGAATTGGTAAACAAAGATAAATCCACACTTTCTGATTACAATCTTACTTTAATCATTGAGGATACCAAATGTGACTATGATCTAGCTATGAGCGAGTTCATTTCCTTGACCCAGAGGTCACCACCCATTGCGGCCATATTAGGTACTATTTATTTTTTTAGCTGTATTTATATCAGTACAAATTATTTTCAAGAATTATGAATAGATGCTAAATTATAAATTGTGTATAATTTTAAAGCGTTGTTCCTTTTAAATGGTTCCCTGTATTAATGGTACATATGTGTGTATAGCTGATCAATAAATTAATTAAATATCCAATATTAGTATATTTCTGCCTTAACAAATTTTTAAAGAGTTGTGACCAAATTTAAAAATTTATAGGCACTGGCTGCTCAGACCCAGCAGAGAGAATAGCTGCCCTTTCAAAACATTTCAACATCCTGATGGTCAGCTTTGGGGCTGAGGCGCACGTCTTATCAGACCAGGACAAATATCCGTACTTTTTCCGTACTGTCCCTCCTGTACATCATTACATGTAAGAATTTTTATTAAAATTTTTCTCGCTGTTATTTTCGCATGACTATTTTTATATTTATCCTTTTTTTTCTGTTTTCAGTGAGGTATATGTTGAGCTCTTCAAACGAATGGGTTGGAAAATGATTGGGGCAATAGCAGAAGATGGGCAGAAGCTACCTGAGTATCACCTGATTTTACAGAAAAAGCTCCAATACGAGGACATATCTTTAACTGTCAGACGTAAATTTTCTAACAGTTCAAATACACCAGACATAGCTCAGGTAATTCATTTTTGAAGCTTTGTTTCTTTAGGTATTGTTTGGAAATTGTGTTTACAGTTTTTAAACTGCTCACGCATTTCTTAAAATCAATGTCTAAAATATGTTTTAAAATGTCTTCTGCAGATTTTAAAAGAATTTAAGGTTCAAAATGTTCGTGTAATAATTGCAGATGTATTTAGTTATGTCGCTAGAGAAATTCTTTGCGAGGCTTATAAACAAGTAAGGTTTTTAAAATTATAAGTCCAGTCTATTTACTTTCATGTATAGAAATAGTATTTTTAAATAATATCCATTTAATATGAAAGGGTTGTATATAGCGACCACAAATAATAATGGCAGTTAATGGAATTTTAAATGGAATGAAAATAGTTATAAATCAATTTATCACACAGAAAATGACAGCGTATGATGGTTATGTTTGGTTCCTACCTTCCTGGTACACAAAAGACTGGTACGATGTAGATTTTTATAATCACCCATCAAGTTCCAGAGAAGCTGATACTCTGAAGGAGAATGTGCCCTGTACCACAGCAGAGATGGAATATGCCACAGCAGGTTATTTTGTACTTCACAAGACAAATTTAGCACCACCACAGACCATGGTGGTAGGGAATATCACTCTTGATGAATACAACCAGCTGTATGAAAAGAGATTTGGCACAGTAAGTTAAAAACTTGAAAGAAAAGAAATGGCTTTATTGTATTAATAAATATTAAACAAATAGGATAAGGACAGTGGAAGATAAGGCAACTACTGCTAAGAGAAATGCTAAAACCCGAATCTAGTGGAGAGGTGTGGCTGCAGCCCTTTGCTCACCACGTCACACAAAGTAATAAGTCAAGTTGAAACAAAATACCTGGCTTTTCTTTAACTGTAATCAATGTTTCTTTCAGGCATCTCCTCCATACTCCCCACCCCTGAACTAAAATAGAAAAATACATTAAATTTTAATTGGAAATACGTTTTATGTATTCTTGTAATTGTGCTCATGAGTTACAAATGCCCCATCCCAATGTCAAAATACTTGAAAGAAATCCTGATCATAAAATGTACTAACCTATGACATAATGAAATAAAATAGGCTCTAAGCTTTTTTTATATATATCAAATGAACTTGTAAGTAAAAATTTGCATTAAAAAATTATACCATTTTATAATAAATTTTATCTTACATCCAGTTATATGATAAAAGTAAATATGCCAGCTATGTGTACGATGCTGTTTGGGTTTTGGCTAAAGGTCTGGATGCACTGCTGAAATCAAATCATGGCGCTCTTGAAACCATACATACTCCTAAAACTGCCAGGTAATTTTAAAAATTTGTAAACAATATTGTTTTTTTTTATTTTTTGGATAGAGGATTGTTTAGCGCTTAAGTTTGATGATGTTAGTAAACTCATTACAAACCTTCTTACAATTTAAGATATTGCAAGATTAAATGTGAACTTATTCAATTTCTTGTAACTTATATTTTAAAAACCCAGATCCAAACCCAACTGATATAACAAATTAAAACTTGTCTTTTACCTACAATTTATAGCTAATAAATCTTCTAGATCTCTTCATTAACCTGTTTCATGAAATTTAAAAATTACTTCGTAATAAATCTTTGCAGTGCATTCAGGGCCCAAATCTCCAATGTCAGTTTTAGCGGAGTGTCCGGCTGGATCAAATTTACTGGGAGTGACCGCCATTCAGACCTGCTCATCCAGCAGGTTTTTGTGAATGAGACAGTAGATATGGGCCTGTACATTGTTGGTGATGGCACCAAGAAGCCCACACTCAAGATTGATAAATTCAAAAATAGATGGTACTCTCCTGCAACTGAGACAAAAGATAGCTTAGGCAACAGTAAGTAGTGGCGCGGCTTGTGTAATCAGTTAATTACAAGCAAAAATTGATAAGACTTCGCTATCTTGAGGCACTAAAATTATTAAAATAAAGTGTCTTATTGTCATTAATTTTTAGATCTCTGTGTTTTAAAAGATTAATTGAAAAAAAGAATATAAAACAGATAGCTAAGATTTTAACCGCAAATTTAATTAAGAATTTGGAAATTTTAGATAGCTTTTATTATGGTCTATCAATATTTAAAAATAGGAACAGTTAGAGCTTCTGGTCAGTCTTCTAGTAAACAGCCTTTACAATAAACATATATTTTAGCAAATGAAGTGTGCTTGATTAAACACTTCTATTTTCAGCTTTTGAAGAGTGCTTGATTGAAAACTTTCGAGCACAGTTGGGTGTGACCTGCACCATAGCCAATGTGATTGTCACAGTTTTTGTATTCTTTGGTTTTGTTATCATTGCCATTATTGTACCTATCATAATGAAGTACAGGTAATTAGTCTCTGACTTTCTGACGTACCATTATGTTTATCATTGTTTCCTGCTTAAAATAAAAATACATCAGTTTAGTATGTTTTAATAAAAAATTTAGGAATTTTCTGATTCTCAATAGACTGGTATGATGTAGATTTCCATAACCTCCATTAAGTTCCAAAGATGTATCTTAACCTGAAGAACATGAATGTTTTAAATTAACAAAACAATAAATGAAACTGTTTCAGGTGTGATGCTAAGATGAAGAAGTTTAAAGCCACCCATGAAAGAATAAAAGAGCTGGGTCTACTCAAAGATGAATTCTCTCCCATTCTCACAGTGGATGACTGGGAAATTCCACGCAAAGATGTAGTCCTTAACAGAGTTCTAGGGGAGGGAGCTTTTGGTAAATTATAGACATTTTTTTTTTTAATTTTAGTCACTACTATAGAACTAGGCTGATAGGGCTCAGTGGACTCAACAGAAATCAACTGTTTTGTATTAGCTATTTTAATTTCAACAAGGTAATAAAATTCAGTAAGATACCCACTGAAGAAGTCTACAACAGGATTGTATGGTTGGAAGTATGCTTGTTGTATTTACTCTTATTGGACTTGAATCTACTTATCAGACCTGTGTAGACCCTGGAACATTCTACATATCAAATCCTAGAAAAATTTGAGACTTCTTTTAACAATCTTGTGCCCTACCGTACAACCACCTCCTTCCTCAACATTTCTCCTTGTTCACACAAGGCCATGTCCAGAGCCTTATCATTTTAAAAATACCTTTTACGCTTTGACTCAAAACATAAACTATTTAATGAATACTTAAGTTAAAGATTCTCTTGTTAAAATAATTTATGTCTAAGTGTTACTGATGGGAGTTACATGTAATAATCAATTTCTAAAGTATTACTGTGTATATCAGTTAATGTCTAAGTGTAATTGTGTACAGGAACTGTGATGGGAGGTGAAATGTACAAAGAAAGAGAAGGCTGGGTGGCTGTGGCTGTAAAAACATTAAAACTGGATCACAAGCTGGAAGAAAAGGTTGGTGAAAGAAGTATTGTAGGCCTAAATTATCATTTGGATTCATTTTAAGTAATGTCTGTCATATTTATATATGAAGAAAGTTTATATTTCAATTATTTATACCAAAGTTAATAGCAAGCAATGTTCTAAATACTACTCGGATTTTTAAAAAATGAATTTGCTTTAATAAATTTTAAAAATTCATCTACCAGCTGGACTTTTTTCGGGAGGTAGAAATGATGAAGAGTTTCAAGCATGAAAACATTGTGCAACTCTGGGGAGTCTGCACACGCAAAGAGCCAATGTACGCTGTTATGGAATTTTGTCTTCACGGTGAGTTCAAACAAAAAAAAATTAATTTTTATAAAACTTAAATGTTATGTATACATAGCAAAAATTAATTCACTCAAATATTGTTAAAGTGATGTGATAAAATGTTTGTATGGCCAGGTGACTTGAAGACTTACCTGTATTGTTAAAGTGATGTGATAAAATGTTTGTATGGCCAGGTGACTTGAAGACTTACCTGTATTGTTAAAGTGATGTGATAAAATGTTTGTATGGCCAGGTGACTTGAAGACCTACCTGTATTGTTAAAGTGATGTGATAAAATGTTTGTATGGCCAGGTGACTTGAAGACTTACCTGTATAGTTAAAGTGATGTGATAAAATGTTTGTATGGCCAGGTGACTTGAAGACTTACCTGTATAGTTAAAGTGATATGATAAAATGTTTGTATGGCCAGGTGACTTGAAGACCTACCTGTATTGTTAAAGTGATGTGATAAAATGTTTGTATGGCCAGGTGACTTAAAGACTTACCTGTATTGTTAAAGTGATGTGATACAATGTTTGTATGGCCAGGTGACTTGAAGACTTACCTGTATAGTTAAAGTGATGTGATAAAATGTTTGTACGGCCAGGTGACTTGAAGACTTACCTGTATTGTTAAAGTGATGTGATAAAATGTTTGTATGGCCAGGTGACTTGAAGACTTACCTGTATTGTTAAAGTGATGTGATAAAATGTTTGTATGGCCAGGTGACTTGAAGACTTACCTGTATTGTTAAAGTGATATGATAAAATGTTTGTATGGCCAGGTGACTTGAAGACTTACCTGTATTGTTAAAGTGATGTGATAAAATGTTTGTATGGCCAGGTGACTTGAAGACTTACCTGTATAGTTAAAGTGATGTGATAAAATGTTTGTATGGCCAGGTGACTTGAAGACCTACCTGTATTGTTAAAGTGATGTGATAAAATGTTTGTATGGCCAGGTGACTTAAAGACTTACCTGTATTGTTAATGACTTGAAGACCTACCTGTATTGTTAAAGTGATGTGATAAAATGTTTGTATGGCCAGGTGACTTAAAGACTTACCTGTATTGTTAATGACTTGAAAACTTACCTGTATTGTTAAAGTGATGTGATAAAATGTTTGTATGGCCAGGTGACTTGAAGACTTACCTGTATTGTTAAAGTGATGTGATAAAATGTTTGTATGGCCAGGTGACTTGAAGACTTACCTCAAAACTTACCTGTATTGTTAAAATGATGTGATAAAATGTTTGTATTGCCAGGTGACTTGAAAACTTACCTGTATTGTTAAAGTGATGTGATAAAATGTTTGTATGGCCAGGTGACTTGAAGACTTACCTGTATTGTTAAAGTGATGTGATAAAATGTTTGTATGGCCAGGTGATTGAAGACTTACCTGTATTGTTAAAGTGATGTGATAAATTGTTTGTATGACCAGGTGACTTGAAGACTTACCTGTATTGTTAAAGTGATGTGATAAAATGTTTGTATGGCCAGGTGACTTGAAGACTTACCTGTATTGTTAAAGTGATGTGATAAAATGTTTGTATGGCCAGGTGACTTGAAGACTTACCTGTATTGTTAAAGTGATGTGATAAAATGTTTGTATGGCCAGGTGATTGAAGACTTACCTGTATTGTTAAAGTGATGTGATAAATTGTTTGTATGACCAGGTGACTTGAAGACTTACCTGTATTGTTAAAGTGATGTGATAAAATGTTTGTATGGCCAGGTGACTTGAAGACTTACCTGTATTGTTAAAGTGATGTGATAAAATGTTTGTATGGCCAGGTGACTTGAAGACTTACCTGTATTGTTAAAGTGATGTGATAAAATGTTTGTATGGCCAGGTGACTTGAAGACTTACCTGTATTGTTAAAGTGATGTGATAAAATGTTTGTATGGCCAGGTGACTTGAAGACCTACCTGTATTGTTAAATTGATGTGATAAAATGTTTGTATGGCCAGGTGACTTGAAGACTTACCTGTATTGTTAAAGTGATGTGATAAAATGTTTGTATGGCCAGGTGACTTGAAGACTTACCTGTATAGTTAAAGTGATGTGATAAATGTTTGTATGGCCATGTGACTTGAAGACCTACCTGTATTGTTAAAGTGATGTGATAAAATGTTTGTTTGGCCAGGTGACTTGAAGACTTACCTGTATTGTTAAAGTGATGTGATAAAATGTTTGTATGGCCAGGTGACTTGAAGACTTACCTGTATTGTTAAAGTGATGTGATAAAATGTTTGTATGGCCCAGTGACTTGAAGACTTACCTGTATTGTTAAAGTGATGTGATAAAATGTTTGTATGGCCATGTGACTTGAAGACTTACCTGTATTGTTAAAGTGATGTGATAAAATGTTTGTATGGCCAGGTGACTTGAAGACCTACCTGTATTGTTAAAGTGATGTGATAAAATGTTTGTATGGCCAGGTGACTTGAAGACTTACCTGTATTGTTAAAGTGATGTGATAAAATGTTTGTATGGCCAGGTGTGTACAGGCATGGTGTGTATCAATTAATGTCTAAGTGTAATTAATTCACTCAAGTATAGTTAAATGTTTGTATGGCCAGGTGACTTAAAGACTTACCTGTATTGTTAAATTGATATGATAAAATGTTTGTATGGCCAGGTGACTTGAAGACTTACCTGTATTGTTAAAGTGATGTGATAAAATGTTTGTATGGCCAGGTGACTTGAAGACTTACCTGTATTGTTAAAGTGATGTGATAAAATGTTTGTATGGCCAGGTGACTTGAAGACCTACCTGTATTGTTAAAGTGATGTGATAAAATGTTTGTATGGCCAGGTGACTTGAAGACTTACCTGTATTGTTAAAGTGATGTGATAAAATGTTTGTATGGCCAGGTGATTGAAGACTTACCTGTATTGTTAAAGTGATGTGATAAAATGTTTGTATGGCCAGGTGACTTGAAGACTTACCTGTATTGTTAAAGTGATGTGATAAAATGTTTGTATGACCAGGTGACTTGAAGACTTACCTGTATTGTTAAAGTGATGTGATAAAATGTTTGTATGGCCAGGTGACTTGAAGACCTACCTGTATTGTTAAAGTGATGTGATAAAATATTTGTATGGCCAGGTGACTTGAAGACTTACCTGTATTGTTAAAGTGATGTGATAAAATGTTTGTATGGCCAGGTGACTTGAAGACTTACCTGTATTGTTAAAGTGATGTGATAAAATGTTTGTATGGCCAGGTGACTTGAAGACTTACCTGTATTGTTAAAGTGATGTGATAAAATGTTTGTATGGCCAGGTGACTTGAAGACCTACCTGTATTGTTAAAGTGATGTGATAAAATGTTTGTATGGCCAGGTGACTTGAAGACCTACCTGTATTGTTAAAGTGATGTGATAAAATGTTTGTATGGCCAGGTGACTTGAAGACTTACCTGTATTGTTAAAGTGATGTGATAAAATGTTTGTATGGCCAGATGACTTGAAGACCTACCTGTATTGTTAAAGTGATGTGATACAATGTTTGTATTGCCAGGTGACTTGAAGACCTACCTGTATTGTTAAAGTGATGTGATACAATGTTTGTATTGCCAGGTGACTTGAAAACCTACCTGTATAGTTAAAGTGATGTGATAAAATGTTTGTATGGCCAGGTGACTTGAAGACCTACCTGTATTGTTAAAGTGATGTGATAAAATGTTTGTATGGCCAGGTGATTTGAAGACTTACCTGTATTGTTAAAGTGATGTGATAAAATGTTTGTATGGCCAGGTGACTTGAAGACTTACCTGTATTGTTAAAGGGATGTGATAAAATGTTTGTATGGCCAGGTGACTTGAAGACTTACCTGTATTGTTAAAGTGATGTGATAAAATGTTTGTATGGCCAGGTGATTTGAAGACTTACCTGTATTGTTAAAGTGATGTGATAAAATGTTTGTATGGCCAAGTGACTTGAAGACTTACCTGTATTGTTAAAGTGATGTGATAAAATGTTTGTATGGCCAGGTGACTTGAAGACTTACCTGTATTGTTAAAGTGATGTGATAAAATGTTTGTATGGCCAGGTGACTTGAAGACTTACCTGTATTGTTAAAGTGATGTGATAAAATGTTTGTATGGCCAGGTGACTTGAAGACTTACCTGTATTGTTAAAGTGATGTGATAAAATGTTTGTATGGCCAGGTGACTTGAAGACTTACCTGTATTGTTAAAGTGATGTGATAAAATGTTTGTATGACCAGGTGACTTGAAGACTTACCTGTATTGTTAAAGTGATGTGATAAAATGTTTGTATGGCCAGGTGACTTGAAGACTTACCTGTATTGTTAAAGTGATGTGATAAAATGTTTGTATGGCCAGGTGACTTGAAGACTTACCTGTATTGTTAAAGTGATGTGATAAAATGTTTGTATGGCATGGCCAGGTGACTTGAAGACTTACCTGTATTGTTAAAGTGATGTGATAAAATGTTTGTATGGCCAGGTGACTTGAAGACTTACCTGTATTGTTAAAGTGATGTGATAAAATGTTTGTATGGCCAGGTGACTTGAAGACCTACCTGTATTGTTAAAGTGATGTGATAAAATGTTTGTATGGCCAGGTGACTTGAAGACCTACCTGTTGTCCAGACGAAATTTGGTTGGTCAAGGTGTGAAAGAAGCAGAAGATGTCAAGGCTGAGAACTTGACCCAGATGGCTGTGGATGTGGCCAATGGGCTCAACTTCCTTCATTCCCTCAAATATGTCCATAGGTTTGTTGGTTATTTTATAGTTATAACTTCTACTGCATTCTTAATTTAGTTTATGGTGGAGGATTTGAACAATAAGTCCAACTACATGTATGAACTGGACTGTGGTCTCCAGATCCAAGGGTCCCCCATATAGTTTTTCCTTGAGTGGGGTGTATAGGGGCCAGTGTCTGGATCGTGCCTGGCTATATAAGGAACAGTCCCTTCTCATTTATGATTTTTTTTTTCTAAATCAGCTTACTAAAAATAAATCTAGAAATATTTTTCAAAATTATTTACATTCTACAGCAATACAAATTATTTTACTGTTTATAACTTGTTATGCTTCTAAATTTATATTTCAGAGATATTGCCTGCCGGAATTGTCTTGTTCATGCCAATAAAACTGTCAAAATTAGTGACTTTGGAATGACGAGACACATTTCTAGTACTGATTATTATCGTTTCAGCCGTAAAGGTATGCATAGTTTGCTTTCAGTTCTAATATCACTTTGCAACACACAATAAAAAGCAATGGCATTTGAAACCCTAGGCTTCTGATATTCAGCTGTTTTCTTTAAATTTAATTTAAATTAAACAGCTTATATGAAAACTATTTACATTAAAATTAAATTATTCCATTACTTATAAAAAATTTGAACCAACTAATTCTGTCTTTTTGAGTAATTCATATTATTGAAATAGTTAAAAAATTTAAAAATTGGGCTAAATTAGAAATTGATCTAAGATAATTGACCTTTATTACAGCTATGTTACCTGTGACTTTTATTTCAGCTATGTTACCCGTACGTTGGACGGCACCCGAGGCATTAAAAGATGGCATTTATTCTTCCAAGTCAGACATCTGGTCCTTTGGTGTCTTGGTGTTTGAAATTGTCACCTTTGGTAGTTTCCCTTACCAGGGTTTGTCCAACAAGGAAGTCTTGGACTACGTTGGCAGAGGGAGCCTGCTAATGCTGCCTGACAAATGTCCTGACAACCTGTAAGAAATTTTTTTTGTTTCACTATAAACCCTTATCACGATAGTGTTCGAATAATTTTTATTTCCTTATAGGCCCTTATTGCAATAGTGTTTGAATAATTGTTTATTCACAGTAGGCCCTTACCATAGTGTTAGAATATTTTTGTTTTACTGTAGGCCATTATCGCGATAGTGTTAGAATAATTTGTTTCACTGTAAGTCCTTACCATGATAGTGTAGGAACAATTTTTTAGTCACTGTAAGCTCTTTCCACGATAGTCTTTGAATAATTTTTGTTTCACTGTAGGCCCTCACCATGGTAGTGTTAGCATAATTTATGATTTAATTTACAAATTGATTTGTTTATTATATAAATTGCTATACATATTCCTAATGCTAAAAGCGACCCCAAATGATACTGTAATTGCCATATGGAATTTGAAGCAGATTACTTTTTTTTTAAATGTCTTTATTTGTTACATCCTTAATCATGTTTTTATTGTAAAATTAAAAAGGAGAAACAATTTTTAAAAACTACATTTTTTACATCTTCAGTAAGTCTTTCATCCGTTGGTGTATGTCACCTGACCCAGGTTATCGACCCGGCCTCGAGGACATTCTCAGTTACCTAAACTTCAGCCCCGCCTTCCTGGCGCCCTGCCTGGACGCGCCCACCACCAGCATTGTCCACGAGGACACCGACTCTCTAGAAATGCAGGCCAACCCGCACAAAGCTCTATCCACCAGCCATAGCCTGTCCTCTTCTGTCCCTGCCTCCAGCGCCCTCTCAAACCACCGGCACTGGCCAGAGAAACTTAAAGACAAAAAGAAAACGTCTTCAGTCCCTGGATTAAATTTAGTTGGAAAGTCCGCCAAATCATTGCAGACGCGTTCCCCTGTATCATCTGCAAGATCCCTGTCCATGTACTCAGGGATAATGAACAGCAGCAGTGTGTGTGGTCTCAACTCCTGCAGTGTTGCGGGGCTGACGTGGGGTAATGAGGAGGAGAAGGAGGATGAGGCTGCTGGGGAGACTTCAGTGCAGGGCGGTGCACCAAAACATAAACAAAGGGAGGCCACTCTTGAGAACAATAGGGTTAGTGTTAGCATAGAGTACAGCTGTGATAAAGGTGAAAGCAGCAGTGGCTACGTCAGTCAGACTTCTAGCAGTGAATATAAGCAAATTTGTGAAACAGTTACCTCCCTTTAATAATAGTCTCAAATATTGGAGATAAAAAAAACATTAATACAAAAAAAAATCTTCAGAAATCAAGTGGTGTGTGAACAACCTGTATTGTGATGACCCAATCAGCTGTTGTGACTTCTGTATCTTGACAGTAAATTCAGCCACCCAGTCAAGTTGGATTTTTAATTCATTTGATTTCCATGATAATCAGATACATAGTAGACAATTTTTTGGTATTGAAATTGTGTTCATAAAAATGGTTTGAGTAACTAACGTTGAAATTTCTTGTATGAATAACATTCCATTATTTTTGCTACTGTTTTCTGTGATACTACAACAATACTTTGTTCACTGTCCCTGGATAGAAGTCTCAGTTGCAGAGAAAACTATTACTTTATGAGAACTGTATTGAAAGAAAAACTGGTGATGTGTTTGTTAAGTCATAGTTATATAAACAAAAAAAATATCTTCCTTCAACTTTTAGAAAAAAATGAATCACTTTTCAGCACTAATGTAACTATCACAAAATAATTGCAAATTTCATTTGCTATGATTCTGGAAAATTTCAATTGTAATATGATTAAGCACATTGATTATCTATCAATCATTCTTATGATTTAGTATTGTTACCATGTTATTAGTGGCTGCACAAGAATCTGAATCCTCACCAGACTTCCTAGATAAGATACTTGTAAATAACTGTAAATATCAAAAGCTTGTTATGATATAATCATTAGGATACATGTATGTGTGTATATATTAAAAGTTTGCAAAAATCCATTTAAAGAATGTACTATAGTTTTTATTTAATAGTCTTCTAGTCATTAGGAAAAAAAAAGATTTGTTTAAATTTCCAATCTAAAATTTTTATTTTGGAATTATTATACATTAATATTTATTTTTTAAACACTAGGAATTTAGTATTTTAAAAAGAATATTGTATTTAGGATATGCCATTGTTAAAAATAGATTTATTTTGTTAGTTTACTATAGATAAATAAAAAGATGTATGTTTCAAATTGAGTAAAATATTAATACTTCATTAATCAAAGCAGATTTTCACTCTATTTTTGAATTGACATAATTAATTTGAGTGATATATTGTTAAATCATGCTAATTTATGATACTTTTAAAATTTATTTTGAGATATTTGACTGCCTACATTAACTTGTATTGTAAATCTTACTGCAATGTGCCTGGTTAATAGGACGATCAGCCTATATAATGTATACACACTTTATGCTGATTGTTTTAATTTTGTGCAAAATATTTAGAACAAAAAAAAATGTGTGTATAAATACTTTAAAAAGTACATTGTGCCAAACAATAAAGCCATCTATTTGAAATGTTTTAAAAAGTTTGTTAGTTTGCCAGCATCTTAAAATTATTACATCAAATAACCAGTTTACCAATGTCATAAACCGTAAGTTTTAAAATAACTGATCACACCTTGACTGTTGTTAAAAGAAGAAATATTTGCAGATTGTTTTAATAAGGTCAGAATATGATACAAGATGTTATAGGTGATATGTCACCGGTAGCGTATGTAATAATGCATCTCATCTGTCATCCAATATAGCATGGAAATTTTAAAATCCTTCAAGCAAACATACTTGTCACTCAACAGTTAAGCCTAAGCTTATAGACACCACTAAAGTACCCTTCTATTGGTAATTGCCCAACAATCCCACTGCTAATCTTTACATGTGGGGCTGCAGAGTGTTGCTTTTTATCCACCCGGTAGTAATTATAATTTTTACAACACCAGATGACACTTTTTTAAAGTTTTTGGATAGATATTTTGGATAGTTTTACAAGTGACCATAAAATTAAAATAATACAAAACTGCATTAAATTTAAAAACACTCAAAATAACAAAAAGTAAGCAACTTGCCAATATTTATTTCTTGTTGAATCTATAATTTAATTTTAAAAAACGTAAATGATATCAAATGAGTAGCAATCATTGAGGTTATTAAATTAATTAAAAAGGAATGACTTTAAAACAAGTCATCCATTTCATGTTATATTACACACAGAAATAGGAATGTTTCATGAAACCTTTAGTTTTGGTTTAATCAGAGGATAAGGAATCAAGTTCAACATTCTTGCATTGCTTGATTTGTGTACTGAATGTAGCCCACACAAATGACCCAGACTAATGCCAGCTGAAGGTCCACTTCAGTTTTCTGTAGGTCACAATGGAGGTAAATTGTCTTTGAGAACTGCCTGGTATTCCATCCTTCACTAACCATCTAAGGAAGCATGAAGTGCTAACTGCAGCATGGCATCATCATCCTGCTCAAAATCCTATTCAGATACAGGAATTTTATTTCTATTTAAATCCTACCCTATTCTATTTAAATCCCATACCTAGAATCAGTAATTGTATTTCTATTTAAATTCAATACAGTAATTATGTCTTTTTAATACAATACAGATAACATATTTTTATTTCTATTTAAATTAAATCTTATGCAGATAAAGTATTTCTATTTAAATCCTATACAGAAAACTACAGATAACTACAAGCTATGCAACTGATCATTAAAATATTATTTTGATACTCACCACGTAGGTATCATATTCAAACTTGTGTCTAATATTTAAATGCTGAAGAAAATTTGAACTTTGAAGGTTTGGGTCACCCCAGGGCATGGCAGCACAAATTGGACAAACCTGGGCAACAAACAACGAATTATTCTTTAATTACCATTATAGGGAAAGAAGTAATTTTATTGTTAGTGTTAAATAAAAACATATCACTTCTGTTGAGTTACTATCATGTTAAGAAGAAGTTATGTTACCACTGTGCTAAATTAACCAAAACTTACCACTTTAGTTATGTTACCACTAAACAAACCAAAACTTACCACTAAAGTTATGTTACCACTGTGTTAAATCAACCAAAACTTACCACTTCAGTTATGTTACCACTGTGCTAAATTAACCAAAACTTACCACTTTAGTTATGTTACCACTAAACAAACCAAAACTTACCACTAAAGTTATGTTACCACTGTGTTAAATCAACCAAAACTTACCACTTCAGTTATGTTACCACTGTGCTAAATTAACCAAAACTTACCACTTTAGTTATGTTACCACTAAACAAACCAAAACTTACCACTCTAGTTATGTTACCACTAAACAAACCAAAACTTACCACTTTAGTTTTGTTGCCAGCATGATGTTGGTTACAATGATCAATAAGTTGTGATGACAATAAATTGGCCTCCATGCAGTAGGGACATCGGAAAGTAGATCTATTCTGTATCTGACTATAGGAAACAAAAAGTTCAAACCATTCTCAATTTATTTTAATGATGTCCTTTATAAACTTTATTTCTAATTCATCAAGTAGCTAACTGAAGAAATGTGGCAGTCTGGCAGCAGCCAGCTCACTGAGAATGAGTGACTTAATCTGACTAAATATTTTCATCTTCGAACTTAATGAAAAACCACCATCAATTCAAATAAGCAAAGCAAATAATACGCTATTTCCCAATATGATTAACTAACTAAAACCTATCCTTATATAAAAAAAAGCCTAGTAAGTTAAATAAACTGATAGCTAGAAGATGACTGAACCCATCAAGAGCCGTAATAATAAACATCCAGTACTTGACTAAATTAACAGCGAGAATATAAGTCCAATACAACACTTACCCTGGTGAGCCACCTTCAGTGTGGGAAGCTTGTTTCACATCATCTAAGAAACTCGCAGCATTAGGACAAGTAAATTTGTGTCCCTTCATTTCTTTTGCCAGAACCTACATAAACAAAATTACAATAATTGAAATTTTTTTTAAAAATATTTAAATATATTTAAATAAAATTTTGAGGCCACAGGATCCCCACCCCTCTATTCACCTGAAGTCAACATGAAACTTATATTATTATATTTAAAAGATGAAAATGTCTAAAGCAGTTGTTTATAAGATGATAGGCAGTATTGACTTACCATAGCATTACAATATGTACAAATAATATAGCAAGCCGCCATCCTCTTTTCAATCTCATCTGCTACCAGGAAGTCCTCTATTGCAGCCCGGCACTGGGGACAACGTGGTGCAGTAGAAGCCTGCAAAGCCTGAAGGCACTCCATGCAATATCTGCACAGCATTGGATTGGTAACATTTTATATTAAATGCTAAGTAATGGAATTAATACTGAGGTTAACCACATATGTAGATCATACATACTTTTTTTTTTTAAAAAACAACTTTTTTTGGGATGTTTTCGAAAAAAAAAAATTTTATGCTTAATGAATCAATGTTGAATTCTCTATTAGATAGAGAACTCAATTTTAATGTTTACGCTTTTGAAAGAAATTATTATAAATTATTACATTTTTTCACAGAATTGTAACTTGAATATAGTCTCACATTTTGAGTAGTTTTTTAAATTTCCAGGTTTTAATTATAAATGAAGTAAGCCTACAAATAAAAACAATACAATTTTTAAAAATGTACTGAATATCAGTATGTTTAATTTTGTGTGGGGTAAAAAGAGTAATGAACGACAGCTTAACTGATATCAGTGATCATAAAAATACCTAATGAAACTATAGTTGTTATCTTTATTGTGAGTCCCCTCTCTTAAGCTTGTGTTCTAAAAATATGCTGTTCTGCAGCGCCCCCACCCCTACACGAATCTAGCAACACAGCTAAATAGTTGTGATCAGGGTAAATACAACTAAGAAATGGTTTAACTTTCAATAATAATAAAAAGTTATGAAAAAATTTATATTTAAATCTGTTCTATTTTAGACTTACATGTGATTACATGGGTAAACAGTACAAGGGTTGGTGAAACACTCCATACAAATGGCACACTCAAATTCATCTTCAGTGGTGGTTACCACAGGGGTAGCATGACAGGCTTCTACATCCATTCTATTTGCCATTCTATGTCAACAGAGCTGAAATATTTTTTGTTAAACACATTATTTATAGTTTAGTTACGTCACTAACTTGTTTATAGTTTTAGGGAGAGCCGGCGTTAAATTCTTCTTCGGAGACTATTGCAGCCAAATATTTGAAGTTTTTTCACAATACAGAATTATTATTTTTCTTCTGGTGTAAAAGGCCTGGTTTTGCCAATCCCTCTCTATCCATGATTCCGGCTGGATGCATCCGTCTCTGTGACTTGCATTGGCCAGGTCGTTGTAGTTGACCTAGGAACTCCTCCGTCCTGGCCAGTGACCTTCAACACAGAGGCCCTACATCCAGTGATGCCCTATTACATGGTTCGGTCTGCTAGCTGAGGTGGTTTGCCTGGGTTTGGCAATGGGACCACATGTGAAAAATTGAGAAGATAGAAAGGGACCAGAGGGGTCAATCAAATAAGGCTAAAGGTGAGGCTTGTCGCACATAAAAAAACCGGTCACAATCAATTAAAGCACTAAATTCACTTTCTATTTTATAAAACTGCTTAAGCCTTACTGATGTGTGTAAATCAGTCTTTATGGCATCAAACCATTGCCATCAAAATAACCTAACGCCAGCTCTGGTTATTAGTTATAATACTGATCTAATTAATATTTTATAGTTATTATAGTTTATTATAATAATAGTTTCTAGATCTAGTTCAGTTAATTATTTTTTAAGTTATTAACTCTTTAAGACTGTAACGACGCTCCAAGCGGTCGACAGGCCGGGTACCGTAATCACCAGCGTCCGATGAAATTTTCTGTTTAATTTGTTGTTTTTCCCAAATCGTAAATCAAGGTCATGATAACACTAGACTGACTATTTTTTTGTAGTTTTCTCCATGGGTTGATTTTGTATTTTAAAGAATTGGGTGGAAAAAAATTCCGGGTAAACATGAAAATAATTCCGGGCTTAAAGAGTTAGGCTAATGTTAAGACTAAGAGTCTTAAGTTCTTAAGACTCCAGACTGATCTTACTTATCAGTCAGATCTCTAGCTGATTATGATTGATTGATATTATTAATTATTTTGATTACTTACTAAAACTAACACTAGAGACCTAATAATTCTTGACGTGAGTGGTAGACTATCTTATCTACTGATTTTGATGATTATTTCAAGTCAAAATATTTTTTTATGTAGCCGATTGTAGCCTAGGCAGCCTAGGACGGCCTAGGTGAAGAAACTAGATTACTAATGCAGATCCTATTAGAATTAGATCTACAATATTAAACAACTGCCTTTAGCCTTAGGCTTAAAGAAATTAACTAGCAAAATAAATACATCTACACAAGTTTCATTTTCATGTTCTTAAAACAAATTCTTTAAAGTAATTCATAACCGTTTCACTGCATTATTTGTTTCTTTTTAAAGTCTTAGTCTTACGGAAACTTTTTAAAAATAAGTATAGTAGAAATATCGATTACTTTTCCTATGACACTAAAAAATATTCTAACGACTCAATTGTCTTGGTTAAAATGATAAACAGTTTATTACACACATTTTATAATTTTAATTATATATATATATATATATATATATATATATATATATATATATATATATATATATATAATGTTTAATCACTAAACTTTTATTGTCTGCCTGAATTAAATAGTATTGTTAGTTTGTCTCGCTAAAACTAAATGTGTAAATTTATAAACTGTTAAATTATAAACGAACATGTTTCCGGTGTCTCTAATATTGATAAACCTATTTATACTGATCCCAAAATAAAAGTCATAAATAACTGGCAAGATCTGAATCAGATCTACCAACTGTAATAATAGTGGAACTATTAAAATCGAGATCTATTACGAACATTTCGACTCAATCTTAAAGATTCTTGTATTGAATTGTATCAGCGGTGTAGATCTATCATCTTACTCGTACTGTCACTTTTAGGTGCGTAAAATCGGCCGAGAATAGTGGCGAGTAATGTGCGAAAAAGTTGCCTCATTGTTATTATTTTGTTAAGGCTTTATAATAGAAGTATATTGTGATATATTTGTGTCAAATATTAGGCCTATAGATAACTGAATAATAAACCAAAATCAATGGCTAAATATATCAATATAGGCCAGCAATTAACTTAACTTTAGATTGTGCATCTACTGATTGATTGTTATAGTTTTAAACCTTTTACTTTACAGAAATCATCAACAAAAATGAGGATACTGTTGAAAGCTGCAGTTTTCTGTGGGGCTATATTTGGCAGCATCATTGTTTTAGAGGCCTGCAATGAGGCAATTTGTGCCCCTCTTGTGAGCAAATGTATGCTGATCAAGTGCTGTGAATGTGAAATGACAGATATTAAAAACTGCACCTGTTGCAAAGACTGTCAAATTTGCTTATCAAAATTATACACTGAGTGCTGCTCTTGTGTGGGTAAGTACTCTTTGTTATTATTTTTCACTTAAGGGACCTAATTATAATTTAACATTGAACAATTTAGATATAGATCTACATATTTTATTATTGTAATGTAGGATACTCCATACTTTTATGTTCTGTTTTGTAAATAATTTTAACTACAACCATCTTTAAAATTAAAACTTCATTATAACTATTAATATTATTTTAATCAATCAAATGTAGATTACTAGTAAAATCAATGCATATTTTAATATTATAGGCCTACTTAATTTAATTAGGGTTTTGAGAATGTTGTAAATTTGAATTATGCATAAACTACAAAATACCTCCTGTTGTATTATTTTAAGTTTGGAGTGATGTTCTTTTCTGTAGGTCTTTGTCCACTTCCTGATTCCAATGATGACATGGGAAAATCAAGCTCAGTTGAAGATCTCCAGGACCCAATCCCTGACCTCTTCAATGTTCTGACTGAGGAAGAGGACAGGCAGCAGCGCTGGACCACCTTCACATATGCTGTTGACCTGGACAAGTTGGTACGCCAGCCTGGGACTAAGCTCTCACCAATGGATCTTCAAATTATCTCTGTTGGTAAGTCCTGGTTCAAGGCAGACTATAGTGTTTACAAAATGGGACTCAATATCCTTGTGTTATGTTCCTCTCCTCCATTACATGTTACTCCCTAGAATGAACCCAGTTGTTATTGCTGACTTTAGTTAGAAATGGTGCTGGGTACATAATGTCTCTGCATGCAGAGGCCAGAGAAATGATAATATCTATTTTATCTATCCCATGATACAATGTGTGCGATGGTACTTTTAAAATATAGTTTTATTACACTATATTACAATTATAGTGTTAACGTTTTGTCTCTATTGTCTTTTTAATCAAGGAAAAGAAGACAACACTCTTAAGGAAACACCTGAAAAAACGCCAATTCTTGGCATACAGAACTGCACTGTAGCCTTCTTCTCTAGCTGTTTACCCATGCCTAAATGTAAAGCTTCCTGCAAATCAATGGGGGCCTCCAAATACAGGTGGTTTCATTCTCATGGCTGTTGTGAATGCATTGGGAGCACATGCTTTGATTATGGCCTCAGTGAACCCAAGTAAGTTGGCTGTGTGTTTGTGTTTATGACTAGGATGATTCAGTTACATTTGGTTGTTTTGTCGAATTGATGATCTTGGGTAAAATGTCCATTGTAATAGTCCTAAAGTGTAAGGTCACTCAAAGCTGTTCTTTTTTTAAAAAATATTTGTTACATAGACCTCATTGCTGCTAACATTTTAATTTCTTTGGTTGTTTAACATAGTTTGGTGGTGTGAGTTTATAAAGTAAATTCACTTGCCTTTATTTATCAGTTGGTAACAGTAGTGTATAATTAATTTCTTATCGTGTAAATTTTTATTTTGAAATCAGGTGTTTAAAGTGCTCGGATGCTTCTGATGCAGAGGCCTCATTCGCAGGGGAGAGAACTGACAGCTTGAATAACGCAGATCCTATGTCAGACAGGTTGTAAAGCCACTGGTTGGTGGCTAACACAGTGATAGTAGAAACAAACATTCAGCCCGTGGATTATTGTAACCAGTATTGTTGGGTTTTTTTGTAAAGGCAAATGATTGACACAAATGTATTTATGATCTATGAAACTAATTGAGCTTATATTTTACTGGTATTTATATTTTTTTTCATAAACTTGAGTTTGCATTTATTGTTATTCTTACTAAATATTTATACCTAAAACCTAGCTAAGAATCAAATTACTTTTTCATCAATGCTTAATTACTTAAGTGCCTAATAAAAAATTTATAATGCATAGTTGTTACTTTCTCAAAATATAAACTTGTGTGTTTTTACACTTTCTCCATGTATAATTAAATCTAAAAATGTAAAATCTCAATGTAAAATTTATATTTATAATTATAATGTTACATCTTAAGGGATATATTAACTAAACAACTAAATAGTCATCGTATGTGAGAAACTTCAAATGAACAGATCTTGAATGATCTAAATTGTTTTCCTGCTTTTCTCATTTTTAAATTGAACAATTTGTAGTTCTTGTTTCATTTAAATTGAAATTTTATTTTATTGATTTATGGAAAACCAATTAGGTCTGTAAGTTGAATGAAAATGAACTCATTTTTTAAGCCACATAGTTAAAGAAGTAAAAAGGTTATAAACAATCAGTATTAAAGTATACATCAGACCCACATTAAACATATAGGACGTATACATTATGTTGTAGCTGTAGAAGCACACACATAAACTTAATGTTTTTTTGTAACACATTATGTTTTTGTTTTTAGACAAATTATGTGGCCAGTGTTTATAGGATTACTATACCTAGATGACATTACACCTGTTTCATTGTATATAACTCATGGCATTATAGGAAATGGTTTTTTTTTTTTAATTTAGATGCTTGTTGGTGGATATTTCTTATTACCTTTTTTTTTTATAGTTAATTTAGTATTGAATAGTTTGAACTTGTATCTTATCTGCCAGGGATTTAGAGAATTTTTTATCTGATTTAGTCATTACCCGAATCCTGACAGCCTTCCTGGTAGAAAAACCACCTTACAATACTTAATAATTGCTTGGTCAGAAAATGTGTAAGGACACGATTTTCAGTGTCAGGAATACAGTGCTAACACTATGAATATGGACAATTTTCCATAACTAACACTCATTTTCTATAGCTATCCACCTCAAACTGCTATGTACGTAACTGTGTAACATGAAATATTTTGTTGCAAACTGAAACCAAAGAGTGTGATTATTATTATTTAGAATCAATAATCTTATAATTTTACGGATATTGTGTTAATCTAGCCTTTGTGTTAATGTTTTTCTCTTGGGAATGGTTTTTTCTTTAGACAATTAGAAAATGGTTAAGAATGTTTTTACTAATTATTTGTAATGTAGTTCATTTTTCTATTGGTTGAGGTCTAAGATTCTTAACTTTTCCATTTGCACATAGACTCTATAATACTGAAGTACTTTATTTGTGATTGATAAAATATGTTGAATTATAAAATTATGTACCATATTTTTTGTGTGGCTGCCTTCAATAATGATCTGTTTTTGAGACTAATTCTATAGTAGTGGTGTTTATGTAATCCGCTACATGTATATCTTTATTGTATTTTTTTCTGAAAATATTTTACTACTACTTATTTTATTTATTTAAAATTCAATTTATAGTCACTTTTGATGTTTTTACACTTAAGAATCAAAAAATGACTGCCTCCGCTGTCATTCTAAACTATGCTATTTGTAAAGAGCTTGATCAATCAAGTTTTATAAAACTTACACTATTAATACTACTTTTGTACATACATTTCACCTTATTTGTGGTTGTGAAAACTTGTTTATAAAAATCAAACATATCAATGAATATAAAAAGCAATAGTATGATCTGCTGCTTGTCAAAGTGTAGCATGCCATTAGTTCAAGTTATGGTAGTTGCGTTCTTTAGACAGTGGCTAAATTTCTCTGACAGTTGCGTTCTTTAGACAGTGGTCAAATTTCTCTGACAGTTTGGTTCTTTAGAACAGTGGCTAAATTTCTCTGACAATTGTGTTCTTTAGAACAGTGGCTAAATTTCTCTGACAGTGGTGTTCTTTAGAACTTAGGCTAAATTTCTCTAACAGTTTAATTCTTTAGAAAAGTAGCAAAATTTGCTGCCTCTGGTAAAAGTTAATCCTAATGTCTACAGTAGCAGCTTCATAGTTGGACATTATACGGTGGACTATATTGTTTGGGTATATACTGATTAAATTTTTTATTAAAATGTTTTAATTAACTTAAGTTTAGAAGAAACAATGACTTTGGCTTCAGGTATTTATAAAGTAATGTATTTCAATGTTGATTTAATTTGATCCTTTGTACTTAAACTTTGTTGCTTATTCATGTACTTAGTTACTGTTTCAATGTACCTTAGCTAGAGTCCTTTGTGCCTTAAGTTTTGAAATATGCAATAAATTCCCTAGAGAAACATTCATTTGTTGATCACGTTAATGATCTAGGGTCACATTTATTAGGTAAACTGGAATTTATATAGTAAACATACTTTTACATTTGTCCCCCCCCCCCCCCCCCCCCCTGAAAATATCAAGTGCCCCCCCCCCCCCCCCCCCCCCCCCCCCCCAGACTGGAGAAAAAAGTCTGGAAAAACACTGATTCCCAGCCACATTTGTTTCCTTAAATTATCTTGGTAGGGTGGGATAATCTACAGTACAAGTTTATTTGCAAAGATATGTCAAAAACAAGGCATTATTCATACTAATTTAATCAAGTACAAACACATCAGGAACAGCTATAGCCTATAATTGCACTTAGATCTATATAAAAACAATTATGCATGATACACTATACATTTTTGGGACTTTCATCTATTTTATCTTGTTTTACCTAAAAAGTGAAAAAATAATTAGTTTGGACTTTAAAGCATAAAGTAGATCTAGTAGTTTTAAAGCAATCGTTTTAATGTGAAGGTTTATTTCTGATTTTATATTAGCGTAATAATGGGGTAATAGTAATATGTTTGTCCCTTGTATTAAAATGCGAGTTGGAACAGTTTTCTGGAGTGTCTCTTTAACTTCAGATGTAGATCTAGATCTCGGCCTATTTGTCTATAAACTAGTTTGGTTTGATGTACGTTTTCGGCAGCTGCCAACGTCATCAGAATTTTTAAATTCATAAACTTCAATCCGCCATATTGGTTTTGGCAGATACGAGCATTTTTAGCAAATATTTGATATAGTTTTAGTTTTAGGCAAATAGTTGGGCCAGGGGCCTACCCAATTTAGATACCAGCGGTTACAATTTCCTGGAAACTACTTCACGGTGTAAGCGATATTTTTGTCCGTGAAAAAACGAGATCAATAAGCCTAAATAAAGGATACCCCCCCCCCAACTGCACTTCAGTCATTATACCAGTGATTTTTATCGACTTGCATTTAACTTACATGTAATTGGAAATGTTTACTTTTCTAATATAGTTAAAACGTTTTAGAGGTCTACATTCAGGATTTAATACACTAGTTCAGTAGTTTTACACTTGGGTTGGATCGAACGCCAGGGGTTTGGCGGAGGTGGTCAAGACACACACCCGACTCATATAATTCACGATTTTGTCAGTGCGGACGATAGAACTATAAAAGTAAAACTATTAAGAAGGGTTCGTTGAATGTGCATAAGAACGTGATGGGGTTCGGTGCCTCCAAAATGTTAAGAACTACTGCACTAGTTCAAAAGAAGATAAACTTAAAAAGAAAAATATTGAGTCAGCAAATGTCTTCTAAAAATAGAATATAAGCATATATGACCGCTGAGGTGTCGAAAGCCAACACATTGTAAGAACTGTGGGTAAATAGTTCAACTTGCCTTAACTTTTAGACCACTGATACTTCAATGAGCAGGCTATTTTAAAAGAGGCTGTCTTTGACAGTTAATTTCCTAAATCTACGTCATAGTCATATTTGTTATATGTTTATATCGAGATTTCACACACCCCTCTCTCCATAACGTCACAAATCCCTCAACCCTAAAATAACCTCCGAAGAGATGCCTTGATGAAACTCTGCCTTCAGACCTAACACACAATCCATAAATGACGTCATGCTTTTTTTGACGATTTTTACCTCCCCCCCCCCCCTCCGTCACACGTCGTCACAAAAAGACAACCCCCCCCCAAACGACGTCACAACTCAGCCTACAACCCCCCCCCCCCCCTCAAAATTGCAGTTGAATTTTTTTTAAGCATCGATATTTTTCCAAAACCATGTTTGAAATCTGTCAAAATAGTGTATTTTAATCAATTCCTATTACAATTTATTAAATTTCCAAAATCTTGTCTGAACTCGGTCAACATTGAGTTCTTTAATCAATTCCGATTTATCAAAACAGTTATCTAAAACGCGATATAACGGCTAAAATTCGTTTTCTAACATTGCTTTTTTTTTATAATGCAAAAGTGTGATGTCACACCATCTGAACCCCCCCCCCCCCTCCCTCATCTCAAAAAGTCACAAAATTACGGACCCTGCTCCCCCCTACGAGTGTGAATTCATTTATGGACAACCCCTAATTGGCCTACTAGATCTATATTGCCATTTTAGGTTGCCTAGTAGAGCCGAAGGCTTAAGGTTTCAAATTTTCAGGATCTCATTCTCTATATTTAGGCACATGTTTTCAATTTTACGCCGCAGACAGCCGGTGTCAATATAATTTCAGTGCCATTATTTATTATACGTTCTAATGGCAAAGCTGTCCACACCTAAGCAGACTAAACTCCAACAAGAGCGCGAGGGTCCCACGTGGTCACTGTTCACTTGTTGAAATAATTAAAAAGTTAGGCCTAGGTCAGAGATAAACTATAGATCATAAGTTATAACAGATTCTAGATCTATATTGTTGTGCCCATTTACTGATTTAAACCTGTTAAATAGGATTGTAGGAAAAAAAGTCACAGGAAAAAAAAAAACACAGGAAAAAAAAACACAGAAAAAAAGTCACAGGAAAAAAAGTCACAGGAAAAAAAGTCACAGGAAAAAAAGTCACAAATATATATTTGCATGATACTTGTTAATACTTGTATGTATTAAATATTTAGAGAGTGCAAATTAACTTAGGATTAATTAAATGTAATGTAATGTGTGTAGGCTGTATATGCATAGGAATTTTTATAATTCATCTAAAATTATTTATTATGAAGTATGTAGATTGTAATTATTTTAAACTTAAGATTAGTAGCATTTAATAGAATGCTCCAAAGTCCACGGTTTTCATCGTGTTTTTTTTAAATACCAATATTAAATTACCGTGAAATGGTAAGTTCATCTGACTTGCTGCCCTCAACTCATGGCAATAATAGTTATGTTTAGTTCAACCACCTTTACTGCCTACATGTATCACGCTCATTACATAACAAAACTTAGGATCAAAACAGAAAGCCGACAAGGTTCAAAAGCTGTCATTGACGCATAACGTCAACAACACAAAATATGTTTGGACAATGCCTACTGAGGAGAGGCCGACCAGAGAATAGCCTAAGGCAAAATGTGCCTAAATTTCTTTTATAATTAACTTTTCTACCGCGTATTCAACTAAATACGTAACAAAAGTTGAGATTGTTGTGTTAATTATCTTAGAGTATTTTTACTTACAATTGTTATAAATCATAATGCTTTTAACGTCTATAAATAATTTATGCTATCAAAAAATACAACCCACAACAATAAACATACAAAATTTTACAATTCTTAACAAATTAATAAAAATATTTCTAAAAAGATTTTTGTGACTTTTTTTCTGTGACTTTATTTCTGTGACTTTTTTTCCGATAAAATTTTTCCCCTGTGACTTTTTTTCTGTGACTTATTTTCCTAGCAAAAACTGTGACTTTTTTTCTGTGTTTTTTTTTCCTGTGACTTTTTTTCCGTTTACCGTTAAATAGGCCGTCATCTCTTGACTGTGGAGTGTAGCTTAAGATTACCAGTTTCTATACTTAGGCCTAGATCTATATATCTAATATTTATTAGGTCTATTTAACAATAAAATATGGACATAAGTTACTAATTATAGGTCTCTGAGTATAATAAGATCTAAAAGTTATAAAAGAAAATGTCAGAATATTGATTATTATTTTTATAATTGGATTAACATATAATTAACAAGTAACATCATCATGCCAATACAAAAAAAAAAAAAAAATAATAAAAAAAAATCAGCATTCGTTTTGAGTACTTTTGAGCAAATAGACCTAGCTTATAGATCTAGATGTAGGTCTAGATCTACATATTCAGTGGCGTGGCGAGGTCGGGTGTCACCCGGTGCGGCACTGAATGGTGTCACCCCCTCAGAGGCGTAGCGACACCCCCCTCAAACTTTCGATTTGCACCCCCCCGTCAAATTTTTCTCTATATATTTTACTATTTTTTTGCCTTGGTGTCACCCCCCCCCTAAATGGTGTCACCCGGTGCGGTCCGCACCCCCGCCCCCCTCGCTACGCCTCTGTACATATTTTAAATTTGCGTCTATATTTTAAAAGCACCAGTGAATACTAGATATAGATTCTAGATCTAGAATCTAGATAGATCTAAATATAGAGAAAAAAAAATGTGACAACGACAATGTGATTAGCTTCTGGCTTCTTATTTTCTGCAGTTTCAGTTTCTTAGTCGAACCATTATCGCGGCATTGGAAACTGAAGTGAAAGTAGAACTAATTTTTCATAGGCTACCAGACACAAAACGAACAAGTAATGTTGAAACTGAAGTTAAAAGTCAGCATCACTTTTGTGCTAAATTAATGTGTGTAGTGTATTTTCTTGGAATTGCTGATCGATGCAGCGTTGCGTAAAATGCTATTTTTATTTCTTTACAAATTCACAAGAAACGAATTTACTGTGAATTTGACCATTTGGCATTTTACATGATTTGAAAAGTTCATTTCATTTAATGGTTTTGTTGAAGTTTAAAATTTAATTTTTTGTTCACTACTTCATCACCATGCCATAGCACATCATCGACATCACATAGAATCTAGTCTAGATCTAGATCTAGTTCAGTGATAATCATGATTCACATTGTCGCATTTTTAAAGCTGGCTTGACCATATTATTAAAGTTAGTAGTTAGTCATTAGTTAAGGCTGGTAATTTGTTATTAATAGCAGTAACAGGCATTAACAGGCTACCAGACTCTAGATCTAGTTTTAGTTTAGCATTTTAATACTTTAGTTAGTAGTGTTGAAATAGAAAAAGTATAGGCCTACTATAACTTTTCTATAGGCCTAAATATAATAGTGTAGTTCAGTTGCGTTTGTTGTAGACATTCTGTAAAATATTAGAATCTATATTAAATTATTAAATATTTAGTATTATTTAGTTACACTAATTAATTGACGCAGGCCTTTACACATGCTAGAACATATGCTGAGGTTGAATTTTGTGGCCTAGCGGCAGGTTGTTAGACTGCTAACCTAAAAGTCTTAAGTTCAAATCCAGGTTCAAGTCAGTAGAACCTTCCTGAGTCCATCCAGCTCTGATGGGTTCCTAACTCACGTTTGGGAAAGTAAAAGCAGCTGGGTACAGTTCTGACCACACTATTCCTTCACAGAAAATGAGAAATAGGTGAAGTTTACTTCACTTGCCCCATGAACAGTGGAGCATTAGTCTATCTCAGGACACTGGCGGTATCATCTTAGACAAAATAATGAGTATTTTTGGTTTCTGGATAACTTGTTTCTGTAAGGAGGTCCTCACTTAGAATAGATTAAAATAATATGTCTTGCTAAATATAAAAGCTGAAGCACTGTTTTTAAATACATTGGTTACTTATTAAAAAAATTCAATTATTGTATGTAATTCATGTTTACAGTATAGCAGGTTTTTAGAACTCAAACTCAGCAATGTGTTGTTTTTTTTAATTACCCTACACAAACCTAATAAATTTTATGAGTGGTTATGCATAAACTATTAAGTACTTCAACATGTTTTTAGTATAAGCTACTATATTTCTTTATTTGCATTGAACTTAATTGCTTTATGTAGTAATTAAATTGAATATATCAATCTTGGCTATTCAGTTTTTTAATGTTTTCTAATAATAGTCTTAACAAAAATAGGAGTGAGTACTTAATGAACCAAAAACAATTATGACTACAAATATAATGGAAGATTACACGAGTAAGACTTAATAAAACAAAGTTTCTTGAGAATGAATACTGAGACAAACCGTGCAGTTCTTAAGCAAACTATTATCAGATTTCTGAAAACATGTAATGGGAACAAGTGTCACAAAGATGAATTTTGGAATGAGGTTGCCAAGTTTCAGAAAAAATCTGTTTCACATAGGCAGTATGGAGTGTCAAAGATGCATGCTCTGCTGGATATTTTCAATGATATTCTCACAGTCAAAGGGGACTATGTTGTCATTAAACAAATTGATGCCCAGACACAAGCTTTGCACAATCGTGTTGTCATCTCAGATTCAGATGAAGAGGAAGAAGAAGCCAAACCCAAAGCTTCTTCTAGTAGGGAAGCAGCCAATACTAAAGCTAAAGGGAAACAAGTTTCTAGCCCTCATTCAAATCTGAGCTTTAGAGATAAACTGCTCGCTGTGTTGCGTGCACAGAATGGCCAGTGTGAGGTGTGGAGGTTTATAGTGAATTATGAGGCTGCTTATGGATCTCTTAAAGAAAATCTGGAAAAGATGCTGAAACTTCATAGTGATGTTGTTTGTGTTAAGAAAGATGTGATCTATTTATTACCCCAAAAGGAGCCGGTTAGCACTGCACCACCCAAAAAAACACTTGAGACATCGCTAACATTTACACCAACTGCCAAATCTTCATGGGGCTCTGGTGTACAACAGGGTAGGCCTTTTTGTTTTGACATTTCCCTTTTCTGCATCAGGTTTATGAAATGAATTTCTGTTCATATTTTATACATGACAAACCACCATTTGCCCCCACAGGATTTGTAATAAATCTGGATTCTGATGAAGACGACGATGATGAAATGGACTCAGACAACGATAGTCACAGCAGCCACAAGTCTTCAATGTCAAATTCCTCTGGATTTATTCCCTTTACAGGTAGAATTGAATTTTTTAAACACAAGCTGGCAAATTTCCAATTATTCACATTACTTTGACATTGTGAAAAAAACAACACAACATAGCTTTCATATACTGTTTTTTTCCTTAATCCACCTAAGATGCTTACCCTATATTTTCTGGTATTGCAACCCATTCACTGTTCACTCTGCAGTTTAAAAAGAATCCAAATTAAAAAACATTTTCACATGTTAACATTTTGTGGTTAGGGTCGACGTCCATGAATCCAGCAATGTCTTCAGGGCAGTTTTCCCACCAGAGGTATGGGCTATTACCTCAGCCTCCCTCAGGTCCTATGGCCAGCAACCCCCAGGGACAGATGTCAAACTTGCAGGGTAATAATTTTATTTATCCTCTTGGCCTGGAATTTTTTTAAACTTCAGCATTGGACTGATTCAATAAGTTTTATCTTTTTATATTTAATAAATGACCAGTTCTCTATACTCACTGCTAAATTACTTTTAAAATACTAGGCTGCTTATCTAACAGTTTAATTTCATTATATTTCTGTTAGTGTGAATGCATTTGATTTACCATAATCATAGACTTCATACAGAGAAAACTATTTTGTAAATATGTATATATTAATGATTATTATACACACAAGTTAAGTTCAGATAAATGTTCATATTGATTGTTTGAGTATTGGATGAGGTGTGGTATGTTTGAAACCTGTTATATTTCAGCAATGTTTCGTATGCCAATGCCTCCAAGCTTAGCACCACCTTATATGCCACGGTTCATTGGCCAGGTAATTATGTTTCTAAATTATTCAACTGAAAGTTTGTATTATTTAATATTTTGACTCAAGAAAATTCAGTGCAGCTCAAAGTGTTGTAAATATATTAGTAAAATGGATGGTATTTTTTACTTAGACATGCCAAGTCTGAATTTTACTTATTAAATCTAAAATACTTATTAGAAAAAGTTGAATTACTAAAACTCATAAAGATTTATTTTGTCAAATTTACTGCAATGAGTACACAGACCTAGAAGATAAGATAATGTGTAACTATTCCTTTATCCCCCTACCCCACAAAAGCAACCCCAAATGGCCGTTGCTTCTCCAGCACTTATGGCTCCCCAGGTGAGACCCCCCCTGCCTCTGATGTACGCCCCAGCCCTTCCCACCATGAGCAACCAAACCTTGAAGTATGCCAGATCCCAATCCTCAGACCAAAGTGAGGACGAAGTCCACATGCCAGTTGTACAACAGCAACCAAGAGGATCTGAATGGCCTAAACCACCAGTGAAATCTGGCCCACCGCCTGGCACCAAGATCACAGAGGAAGCCAGAGTATATTTTCATTTTTTTTTCAAACATGGAACTTTATCATTTTAAACATAAACGTATTCAGACAAATACATAAATTTATAAGTCCTAATTTTATGAAAGACGTTGATAATTTTTTAAATTTTGTTGTGGACAATTAGGAGATAATAATTAGACCAATAATGATGCAAAGAGGCACTCGTCTTTCAATGGACCAAGTCAACCAACAGATTTTGGAGTGTATAGACCTACTCAGTGGCAACATGGAACATGTTTCAATTGAACGTTTAGAGTTGATGATAACACAGAAATACCAGGTTAGTGATGTTCTAATTACAATGTAATAAGTAAAATAATAATTTTTTCCCCCAATATAACTTAAGTATTTCCTTTGACATATCACACAAATTTATAATTATTCCATTTTTTTTTGCTTACATATTTGGATGATTATTAATAATATAAAAACAAATTGTTTTCTTGTTTGGTTTACCAGGTTAGAAATTTTCGTGATCTCAACTTGCCAGAGAAAATGTTCACATCAATGCCAGCAGCCAAAGAGCACTCTCTTCTGCTGGGTAAGGTGAATGTGTACGTGCAGAACTTTGTCAGGAGCAGGTCACTCTGCACGCTGTTTGAGCTGAAAGAATGCTGCAGGGAGTTCCACCCTAAGAGAAAAGACTTTGACCACCTTAAATTGGGACCACTTCAAAAAATGCCTGTAGTGTAAGTAAACCAGACCTTTATTCAATGGCATCACAGATCCAAAGTTCAGCATTATGGCCATTTTTTTACTCTAAATAAAATTAATGATCTGTTTTTTTTTTTTTAAAAGTGTTACATTTTTATGTTGTGTATAATTTTCCTATGAATATTTAATAAAAAATAAAATCCATTCACTGACTGTACATTGACTATGTATGATATTTATACATTCCCATATGACTTTTATCCAATGGGGTTAGGTATGAGACTTTCAAATTCCCTTATGATGAGTACATCCCAGAGATCACATCCATCGACCTGATGGAACAGCTCAACAACTTCCTAGACAAGTAAGATCACTCTGTTTCTCAGTATCTCTCCTAACATTTAACATCCATTCATACCCAGATCTCTCAGTGTAGTCATTTCTCATTGTTTTATAGCACTTAACATCCATTCATACCCATATCTCTCACTGTAGTAATTTCTCAGTGTTTTATAGCACTTAACATCCATTCATACCCATATCTCTCACTGTAGTAATTTCTCAGTGATTTATAGCACTTAACATCCATTCATACCCAGAACTCTCACTGTAGTCATTTCTCAGTGTTTTATAGCACTTAACATCCATTTATACCCAGAACTCTCACTGTAGTCATTTCTCAGTGTTTTATAGCATCCATTCACACCCAGCATACTTCTTTCAAATTCTGTTAAATCCAACTTTAAGCTTGGGAAACATTTTGATCACAACTTGACTTATATTTTTTTTACAAATAATTTAATTTATGATCATTTCCCTTTATTCCACTGCTATTGTTTATAATGTTTCTGTCAAAGAATGATTAACCAAAATGTTAGGAGAAAAACATGAATGAGTTTTATTTTGTAGGACTGACAAATGGAAACAGCACACAAACATTGAAGAGTTCGTGACCTATCTCTTGTCTGTTTACAATGTCACCAGTGCGTATTCTCTTGGCATAAGACTGCGTAGTCTCCCCTTAGCTATTCAGGTGAGTTTTCGCTTGACCTTTTAAACATATTAATGTAATAAGTGATTGTCTGTTAGCCGTCTTAACTGTCAATACATTGAGTGACTTAATAGAGTTATTGACAAACTTAAAACAAATTTATTGAAAACTTTAAAAAAAAAAACAACAGTTGACTTCCCTTTTGCTACTTTGCAACTCTAACATTAAGAAATGAAAAGAAATAGGCTAAAATGAAACCATTTATTATGTTAGTTGTCCATAATCGTCAAAGCTTTTATTTCATCATAATCAACACCATTTTCCATACTTCAATGTAGATGCTGAAAAAGTCAAAACGAGATGCTGCTACCACTCGAAGAACTGTCGTTGAGAGTTTGAAGGATCTTTTAAACAAAGATATTGAGGAGGCGTTCAAAAAATTTAGAGCTAACATTCTACAAGTAATAGTTGCATCTCTTTGCTTAAATATGTTTTACTTGAAGAGTTGCTATATTTAATTACTTTTTTTTGTGTTAAAAATAACTACCTAACATTTTTTTTATAGTCGGGTGCAAGTGGACTAGAATTGAGACAACATTACATGAATCTGCCTCCAGAGGTTGCTCTCCGTGAAATCTTCATGAAATTTGAACTGCTTGCCCAGATTTTTGTGTCAAATCCAACCTTTTTCCGTAAAATTGAAAAATTGTTGAAACACTTTAATCATTTTGTAACGGTAAGCTACTTTTTTTTAAAACAATATTTTGTTTGTAAGACACCCTGGCACTTAAACAATATGCAAAGCAAAAATCTTTAAATCATTTTAATTGCACATTTAAAGGTATGTAATTCAAACATGTTAAAAATATTAAACATTAAAAAGAATATACAATTCGAACATCTGTAAAAAAATTATTTTCAAAGAAAGTTTTAAATCCATAAACCATAGCAATATATTGCATTTAGTTACTTCATGCTAGAATTTAAAAAAAAAGAATTGTCTTTATTTTGAAATTTAAAATTCAAAATGATACGGTTTTAGTAAAATCCAAACTAAGTCAAGATATTTTTTGTGCGTGAATTTATATATAAAGTTGTTTCCATCGCTGTCAGAGTGTGCTGGAAGTTCCCATACCCCGGAACCTGTTCCACCTGGCAGTGTGCATGTCCAACTTGGAGGTGCAGGAAAGTGCCACAGAGTTCCTGGAAGAGGAAGCCAAGCTGCAGCAGAAGAAACAGGAAATGGCCTTACAGATGCATACACAGCAGGCAGACAAAAAAGTGCCCCCAACCAAAGGTCAGTTTGTCTTAGTGCTGACTACACCATCCCTTCATATGTCGAGGTCAAGAAACATATGAACTCTACTTCATCTTCCCTATGGATTGTTATGTCTGAAAATGGAAACTTTCTTTACTTTGTAAATAAAAAAGCCTAAAGAAATTTATTTGTATGTTGTGTTGTATGTTGCTCTTGTGTGCTGCAGTGCAAACTTGTTTTTAAATTAAATTTTAAATTAATTTAACTTGATCTAAATGATTTTATTGTGAAATGATTGTATTAATTTTTTGTTGAAATCCATACTCATAACTTTGTAATATCTTGTTTATTAAAGTTGGACTGGCTGATAAAGTCTTACTGTACTTAAACAAGTGCCTTGAGCAGAGTGCCTTAAAACTGTCACACCTCCAGAGAATAGAGACTAAAATTCTAGAGGACTTGGACTTCAAGACATTCCATGACCTTGGCTACGGAACATTTTTAGACTTCATACACTCTGAAGGGAAAATCAAGAAAGTAAGTTGTTTAGGCATCACATAGAATTAAAAAAAAATCAAGTAAGTTGCCTTGACATCACACTGAATTTTCAAAAATAAAAATATAAAAGTAAAAATTTCATACATGGCATAAAATTATCAAAGTAAGATGTGCTTTTATGAGATCTGATTGTTGTTAATGGTATGAATCTCTCTATATATGGGGATATGGTCTATGAAAGGGTTGTTGTATATCATACTCTCAGAACATTGACCTTGTCTGTATAAACACAGACATCTTGGTTGTTGAGCACTAGGATGTCCTTTACAAGCCAAATGGCTCCTGACTTTGGAATCAAACCCAAGTTGTTTGGGTTAGAAATATAATGCTGTATATCTTGGCCACTCCACCCCTACAAAAAATGCAAATGGTTCATGTTTTAAATGAGGAAATACAAGGTTGTTAGTCACTAAACTTTTATAACGTGATGTTGGTGTTGATTGACTGTGTTTTGCAGGTGCTAGAAGAATGTGGTGGGACGGCTCTAGGCTCAGCCTCCGGTGGTCATGAGAGCGAGTCTTTGTTCAAGCCTGGCCAGGTGGAGCTACTGGAGTTTGTCTGTCAGGCCAAGTCAGCTGGGCTGGTGCAGGTAGGTCATTCATCATCTGCGGTGCTGGTGTAAGTAGATTATTTATGTGGATTAGTCATTGATTGGCCAATGTCTTCTCATATACCAATAAACCATTCTGTTCAAGAGTTCAATCAAATTGTGTTTCCCAGGTTCAGCAAGTTGATAATTGTTTATGTGAACAATATCACGTCAGTGACATTAGGCACCTGGGACATGGCAATATTTCTAGATTGGTCAGCGCAGCAGAAAAATCTGGCAAACATTCTTCAAAAGAATACAGTGTACTTTTTGAGGCAGCTTTGTGCGGAAAATCCTGGCAAGTCATTGTTTTTTCCCCTACAAAATTGTAACTAAAAATCTTAGTTTTACTAAAGTATTTATGATTTATATGTAACTAATTTATTGATGTCTGTGTAGTCCAACAACTCGCAGTCGTGGCCAGGTAGGCATTCATGGCAGCCTAACTAAAGAGGTGGCAATGGCTTGTCTGACAGCCTGCCCTCTGTTGGAAGACCTGGCTGAGTGGAGCCACTGGTCATTGGTGTTTCAGCCCCAACATGGCCGTCTGCGTGACTTCATAGAAAAACATGGCGGACAGAAAATTTTTACACTGGAAGGTTGGTTGATTTAAATTTAAATAAAATTATGATGAGTAATCACTTTTTAGATTGTAATGGAATATACATTTTAAATTTATTGTTGTATTTTCAATATGTTATAGGCTGACAAAAAACGACTGATTTGTCACAGTAAAATTTATCATATACTTACTAAGTATTTAATTTATTTGTGTAACTTTTATTGAAAAACATGCTCTGTTTTTTTGACTGCGAAATTCAAAGCTATCAGTGTGGCTCAAGCTATCCTTTCAGTGATGGCTCCATATTCTCAGACATTGTCCATGTTAAGTTGATGTGTTCTTGACATTCAATCTTTGTTTTCACTAGGTGGGCGTAAGACTGTCATATCTGACTTCATGGCTCTAGAGGTGGAGCCAGGCAAACTTCTGAAGATCAGCTCGCGCAGCAACTCAGACCAGTTCTGTAGGGCTCTGGATGCCGGAGACCCCAATGCTTCAGCTGGGCACCTGGTCTCCATGATAGTGGCCAACAAAGGTTTAGAGAGTACACCCCTGGCGTTACTCTCCAACCACTTGAAAACAAAACTTATTTCCTTGCATGCTCATCACCCAGTCATGGGAACACCAGGTAATTTTTAGCCCAGTGTTGACTGGTGTAGGTTTCAGTTAATGTTATCAGGCTTGATAATTGGATAGCTTTCTTTTTTCCTAAATTAAAAAAAAACTAGTCTTTTTTAATTTTACCAAACTTAAGATTTTGCCATACCTAAATAATTCAAAAGTCTGCCATTGTTTTTGTACTAAATTTTTTTGCTGCACTTCATAAGTGAAGATAGCGATTTGGACCTAGATTCTAAATTTAAAAAAATGGTAATTAATATTTAAAAAAATTTTAAACCGAAAATTTGCAGGAGGTCCCCCATCCCTGGAATCTCTGGATCTTGCTGTCCAATTTGTCACTGAGATCTTGCTGCGACTGCCTGTCAGAATTTGTGTAGCTGTCGCCAACCAGGTAACCATTTATATGTCAAGTACACCTGGTATAGAGTTTTTGAACACCTGCATCAATAAGCCTCTATTAGGTGTAGTCTAGTGTTAGGGCCCTAGACTGCTAACCTGAAAGTCGCAAGTTCGAATCTGGGTTCAAGTCAGTAGAACATACCTGATTCCACCCAGCTCTAAGGGGTACCTAACTCTTGGTAGGAAAAGAAAGGCAGTTGTGCATAGTGCTGAACACATCATCCCTTCATATGCCAAGGTCACAGAAACCAGTGAACTCTACTTCACTTGCCCCATGGACTGTCCCAAAAGTGTACTTTACATTACTAGAAGATCCACTTTTTGTTGATTCGATTTAACTATTGCTTGATAAAAGAACTAGTTTGTCTTAATGTCAACACCGTCAGTGACATTTATGAAGGCAAAGGGACACTTAGGAAATAATTCAACGTTATAAATAAAATTAAACCAATACTATTTGATGTTGTCATCACAATTGGTCATGTCCCAATAGCTTTTAAACTTGTGGTTCAATTATTATTATAATCTTAATATTTTCTTGAAACTTTTAATTTCCACTGGAAAAGGCCCAGATTTTTTTGGGGGAAAATTAGACTAAGCGTATATTTTTTAAGGCTTTGCACAATTAAAATTAAATATATAAGTTAAAAATTAAAATTGTCAACAAAGTTTGTGCTGTCATTGTTTCCTTGCTCACTACTCATACCTCTAATTGAACTTTCAGGTGCTGTTAGAACCTTTGAGCCAAGTTGTTGGGTCAGCCAAATCTAAGAATTTGATCATCCAAGCCTGCAGAACTCCCTGGCAGCGCCTGAGGCTTGAGTTACTTGGCAGCTTGCTGGGGTTGCCAGAGTGGACAGTGTCACACCATGCCAGGTTTGAATTCCCTGCTGAAAACGTTGAAGAGAACCTTCCAGATGAGTTGCTTGGTCAGCCTGAAGAAGTGGTCGAGGAAGAGGTACACTAATTTCTTTTTTGCTTGTCTGGCCATTTACCTTGATTGCTCATGAGAATGGGTCTTTGTACTATTTTAGATTTACTTCCCTTGATAAGAATATTGGATTAAACAGTTCAGAAAGGGTTAAAACAATAAATGTCATTAAAAAAACATTTTTTATTAATACTAAAGTAAATAAAGTATAGTCATTGGTAGTTACTACAAAAAATAAATGCAAATTCCATGAATTCATCGTCTAATTACCAGGTTTTAGCCTTATTTCCTTAACAAAAATATTCATTTAACAGTTCATTAAGGGTTAAAAATGGCACAGTAGCCTCCCTTTTTGTTAATACTTCAGTAGATTAAGTAAAGTTACTGATAGTTACTAAAAAACTTGAAAGAATAAAATTGTTTTATCACCAGGTTGAAGAGGATGAAGATGAAGAGTCTGACTCGGATGAGTCTGAGCTAGATGACATTCTGTCACAGGAGGTAGAGGAAACTGTAGGGGGAGGTAACCAAGGTAGGGAGGGTGAGAGTGTGGACAAGACAGATGATGGTGTTGAGGAGATCAATCAGATTGATGATGATGAGGAGGAGGAGGATGATGGTAATGTTTTTTATTTTATTAAAATTTTTTATTTTGCCATGAGATGAATTTTGATTTTTTTTTTTAAACAATGGTTTATGTATGTAGGATGAATTTAGACATTTACCTGTGTATAGAGAATGTAGCTAGTGGTAGAACGTAATACACTTGATTAGGCCTGAGAAATTTACAAACTCCATGGCTGGTAGTTAGAGAATATTTGAAATACAATTTCTCCATCTGCTGACTTAGCATCTGTTATGGGTTTCCTACACGAGATGTATACCATTTCTTTCTATTGAATACAGCTGTTTTATCCTCAGATGTGGGGCATATATTCACATAAGGACACAGGCCTTGGGCCACTCTCTATACCTGCGTCATGTCCTTAACATTACTTAATAGTTGACAACCATTTCCCATGTCTGAATTAACCTTACCATTTCTCATTCATCAAAACATAGTCCTTATTCATCTTATAAAATGTTAAAAAATTATAATTTATAGATGATGATAAAGATGAAAATAAAGAAGAAGGAGAAGACAAAGAAGAGATCAAGGCGCAAGAGCAACCTGACATTGCCAAAGAAGCAAATAAATCTGTTGACGTTGAGGGTCAAGCCGACCTTATAAATGATGAGGGTCAGGCCGACCCAGCTGATGTGGGTCAAGCTGACCAGGTCAGTGCTGATGTTGAGATAGTGGAGCAGAGAGAGCTGACCCATGAGGAGAAATGTAAGCTGGTTGTAGAGGACATCAGGCGTGAGGAGTTTGGTGTGGGCATCAAGCTGGACGAGACTGGCCAGAAACTTATGCTGGTGGGTGGCCACATTTTTTGAGTTGCTTTCTTCTTCTGCGTTCTTAATTTAGTTTATGGTGGAGGATTTAAACAAGTCCAACTTCGTATATGAACTGGACTGTGGGCCCCAGATACGCGGGTGCCCCATATAGTTTTACCTTGAGTGGGGTGTATAGGGACCAGTGTTTTGATTGCGCTTGGCCATATAAGTTGCTTTAATATGCATGGTTTATTTGTTTCTGAGATTAGTCATATAAAGGTAACTTTAAATAATACATTGTAATTACAAACAATAAATAAGGCGCTTATTTAACTTCATATTCAATGCTAATTTAACTCAAGCTTTTTACCTAAACTATAACAATACCATGCACACAAGCATAAAGAGCCTTTAAATTTAATTTTTAATAAGTAACATGTTTTTCCGGTGTTTGACTAGTGTAGGTAATTTTAAAATTCTCCTTGGTCCATCTTCCTGCAGTTTTGAAAATATCAACCAAAATTAGTATAATTTAAGGGAATTAACTCTAATAAAACTCTTTAAAAATTGCCTGGAGTAATGGTCCTTTCAACAAAAATCCAGAAACAACAGGAGCGCCAGGGCCGCAGCCTACAGAGACTGTCTAAGGACCTGTACAGCAAGGAGACCCACTTTGTGCTGGAGCTGATCCAGAATGCTGATGACAACAATTACCAGGGGGAGGTCACTCCATCTGTCAAGTTTGTCATTGATGCTTCAGGTAAGGCTCGGTACTAATGGTAGAAAAATGTAATGGATGGTAAGTTTGTCATTGATGCTTCAGGTAAGGCTCTGAACTAAGGGTAGACAAATGTAATGGATGGTAAGTTGTCATTGACTTGATGTAAGGCTTGGTACTAAGGGTAGAAAAAAGTAATGGATTAAAGATTTGCCATATGGCATTTAGAGAAATGTAATGGATAGAATCTTTGTCATATGGCATTTAGAAAAATGTAATGGATAGAATGTTTGTCATATGGCATTTAGAAAAATGTAATGGATAGAATCTTTGTCATATGGCATTTAGTCAATCAAAAAGATTAAAAAAAAAAAAAAATTTGTGGATATTGTTGAAATTCATGTTAACAGTTTAAGTGCAGTTATAAAAAACATGTAGCATTAGGATGTCAACAAGAGATTTCCAGGCATCTCTACTCTGAGCTAGTCTCTCCAACTGTCCCTAGGTGTATCTAATCATCTTTTAGATTCTGTCTCCAGGTCTTTCTTGATTGGTCTCTCTTTTTTGCCTTATGGATTCCAATGTTGGGTGAACATGTTTTTGTTTACAAATTTTCCTGTCATAATTTCCACCAGGTGTGACTGTGCTGAACAATGAGACAGGGTTTGAAGAGCAAAACATTCGAGCCATCTGTGATGTGGGCAAGAGCACAAAGTCCAAACACAAATATGGGTATATAGGTACGTTGACAAATAGAACACATCTTATTCACCAATAAGGATAAAATATATATTTTCTGCTTTGTTGATGATTAAAGATGTGAATTATTTAAAGTTAATTTATCGTTGATATTTTAAAAATTTCATTCTGTTTACTTTTGGTCCATTAGGTCAGAAAGGCATTGGCTTCAAGTCTGTGTTTAGGGTGACTAGTCGACCCGAGGTCCACTCCAATGGCTTTCACATTTTCTTTGATGTCAACAGTGGACCAATGGGCTACATCCTGCCTCACTGGTCTGATGAGCCAGGGGACAATACAGGGTGGGTGGGGTCTAATTATACAGGGTGGGTGGGGTCTAATTATAAGGGTGGGTGGGGTCTAATTATACAGGGTGGGTGGGGTCTAATTATAAGGGTGGGTGGGGTCTAATTATACAGGGTGGGTGGGGTCTAATTATAAGGGTGGGTGGGGTCTAATTATACAGGGTGGGTGGGGTCTAATTATACAAGATGGGTGGGGTCTGTTGGTTGGTCCGTATAACTTAAGAAGTCTTTGGCTAGTGCATGTGTGACACATTTTGCTTTGGTGTCAATAATTATTTCCTATTAGTTAAAGTAGAGTATGTTTTAGGAGTGTGTTTTAAAAAACTTGCTAGAGTACTTTTTTGCAACATTATTTTTTATATTTTAAGTGGTCATGCAGGAGAATAGTTCTTTTTCTTAACCCATTTTTACAGTACCTAACATATCATATTAATTGTAATAACTGCGTTGACAGTTAAATGTTTATTGCTATATATTTATTAAAACATTTTTCATTGAACTAAATGAGCAGATGGCAGACAAGAATCCTGCTGCCGTGGACTGAAGAAATCAAACAACACATCCAGACCCATGCCGCAAGGTTCAATGACATCCAGCCATCTTTGTTGCTCTTCCTGCACAGGCTGAAGGAGATCCATATAGAAAACAAGGTAAGACCAGCTTTTGTTGAGTGCCAGTAGGACATTTTTATTAATGTTGCCAGATAAGTATGACACAATCTTGTTAGCTTGCCAGTTATTATGATAACTTTGCCAGCTTGCCAGATAAGTATGACAATTTTGCTAGCTTGCCAGTTAAGTATGACAACTTTGCCAGCTTGCCAGATAAGTATGGTACAATCTTGCCAATGAAACACAAAACACTTAACATGAGCTCATGTTGCCGTAAGACATTGTAAATTGCTAATTTCCATCAGACATATCTGCACTATTGCCACATTGAGATGGCTGCAGGTATTGTCAAATGATGGCACACAGGTAAATGTTATAATAGATATCAAAAGTTCTTAAATGTTAAAAATTGCTTTACCTTTAGCAACAGTGTTTTAGCCAAGCAAGTGACAATTTTAAAGTAATATTTTTGCATAAAAAAACCAATGATGGACACATTGATGTAATTCGGTCTGTTCTTTCATGTTTCTTAACTAGGTGGAAGGCTCAGACATGTTCATGAGACGGAAAGATTTCCCTGACGGCGAGATTCAGATTTCTCACAGTCACGGCAGAGACAAGTGGCTGGTCCTCAGGAAGATTCTAGATGCCTCTGCCATCTCTTTACAGGTAATGGGGAGGTTTGAGTCAGATCTGAATGCCATGGATTAGAACATGCTTCATCAATTTTCATCATTACCCCCCCCCCCACCCGAGTAATTACCCCCTGTTCAATTACCCCCCCGTCCAGTAGGACATTCTCCCCCCCCCCCCCCCCCCCCCCCCCCCCCCGACAGGGTTAAGGCTAGGTTTAGGGTTAGGGCTAGGGTTATGGTTTGGGTTAGGGCTATGGCTAAGGTTAGGGTTAGGCTTAAACCAATGTCTAGCGTTGGTTTTGGTTTTGTGTTAAGTTTTAAGCTGATGTGGATGCTTAGGTTTTGAGATTTTTCTTAAGTTTAGGATTAAGGTAATATATAGGTATAGAATTCTAGTTAGAGTTAGGATTCTAACTTGAGGGGGGGGGGGGGTAATTGACAGGGGGGTAATTGCTCCAGGAGTAAATACAAGGGGTAAATATCTGGGGGGGGGGGGGGGGGTAATGTCCTGTAGCCACGGCCTATATATGTTAACTTTTCATTGTGTTTTGTTTGCTCCAGACTTTTAAAATCTTTTAAATTATATAATGTATCTATTGCATTTCAATTACTAAATAATTTTACATAATTTTAGTGTAACAAGTATTCCAATCATAAAATTTTAATGTTTAGGCTAAATCGGGAGTGGAGGTCGAATCAACAGAGATTGCCCTGGCATTTCCACTCAAAGACAAATCAGTTTTTCTTCATTCTCAGGTGTGTTAAACAATCAGTCTTGTACCAACTTTCTTACACTTTACACTTACTTACAGTGAGGAAATTATCTTTTTTTTTAAAATATAATTTATATTTTCTTGTTCCTCCATCCTAGGTGAAACTTGAAAAGCTGCCAGTTTTTGCTTTCCTGCCCCTAAGATCTTATGGATTCAGGTTCATTGTTCAAGGTTTGTCATGAGAAACATCTTTTGTTTCATTATTTTGTGTCTTCTTTCTTCTTCGTTCTTAATTTTTAGTGTTGGAAGTGATCGAGCCTTATCTGCCAGAGGGTTTGAACTCGAGACTTTTATTCGTATTTATCAACCATATTTTGTGTCGAATTTTATTTTTTTAAAAATTGGAAAATGAACATAGGTAGTAATATAGAAAATTTAAAAAAATTAACTGTGACTTCTTTGACAAAATCACAAACTGCATACTGACAAAAAAAATTCATAAAAAAAAAAAAAAAACTGCAGTGAAATAAAATTAAACTTTGTGTTGATATATTACTAACATCTCTCTTACATGAATAAACTATCCAGCACAACTTGTGTATTTCAGGTGACTTTGATGTCCCATCCAGCAGGGAGGATGTGGACAGGGACAGCTCATGGAACCAGTGGCTGAGAAATGAGATCCATCATTTGTTTATTGACGCATTGGATGCTTTCAAGGTGAGTCCTGCATAACTTCCAAAATCTAAATATCTAAATAGTTAAACATGGATTATATGCATTTTGTTGATCTATCCAATTACTTTTCATTGCTTTACCAGAATGCTTTTTTTACTACTTGTGTCCATAAAATAATTATTCACATTTTACAGCTTCTTATAATTTTTGATTTTTTTGCAGGCAAGACCTGATCTCACACCATTGGAAGCACTGAAATCATTCCTACAGTTCATTCCCTTGGAAGGGGAGGTAATGGGATTCTTCAAGCCAGTAGCCTCCCATATTTTGGCTCAACTGAGAGCCAAGGAGTGCATGCCTGTTCTGACTAAAGACAAAAAGAGTAAGATAAATTGTAAAGTACTTTAGGTGTTATGAAAATTTTTACCAGTGTTTTAGTAAGTTTTTTTTGTTTTTGTTTGATCTGTTAATTATAATTAATGTTTAAAAGTTTTCATTTGTTTTTGTATAAATAACCATTTTATAAATTACTTTTGCTAAGAGAATATTTAATATTTATTATATACTTTATTTATGTTATAGAAATTATATTTTAAAAAAATTTCTAAGTACATTTTCTCCACTCTTTTTCAGCAGGCTGTTAATATTTATTATATAGAATTAGCTTTTATTTTTTCTGGTGAGCTGCAGTCAGCTCCTGAGCCTTTGGTTGCCCACATATCAAAGTAAAATGTTTGAAATACACACAGGTATACAGTGGAAGATGCCATCCAAGACAGTCATGACTCGTGATTCCCTTGTGATGGAAGTTGTGTCCCCTGAGTTGTTGCAGCGCCACCTAGACCTCCATTACCTGCACCCAGAAGTAACTGAAGCGCTGGACGAGCCACTGACCAAAGCTCTGGGCATTGAGTCCATCACCACAGAACACCTGCTGCACATTGGGAGGTCAATAGGTCAAGGCTGGGACAGTGCAGAGAACTCTGGTAGTTTTATTTGTCTTTCTTAAAAATCACCTTAATTAAGTTTATTCCCAGTTATTTTCATTTTAAATTTTGTTAGTTTCCAGATTTTTTTCTTGGATTTTTTAACATTAATGATAGTTTTAAAAATAAGTATGCTTAGAAAATTTTAAATGTAACCTCCTTAATTTCAAACTTGAACTGAAATATGAATCAAGATAACAAATAACAACTAAGAAAAAAAAATAACTTTGTTAAAAGCAAAGTTTGTGTATAGTTCCAGTTTTGATTGAAAATTTAATGAGATTGTCCATTGTGCAGATCATGTGACTGAAATAGCCAAATGGCTGGCTTGTGTTTATCGTAGCTTGGATGACTTTCAGGACAACACACAAACAGTTGAGGCACTGGACAAGATGAGGTAATGAAAGCCTCTATATATCTACTTCCACATAAATTGTTTGATAAATAAGTATTTTTCAATTTAAATAGTTTGAAAAATAGTGTAATAATTTTTTACTGCTTGTTTTAAAGTGATCTGCATACAAATATAAGTATGGACAGTCAAAAAACTAATTTTTGGCATAAAATAGGGCTTCAATTTATTCTTCTTATTATATTTTTAATAATTTTAGATCAATGATACATTAATTTGAGGGGTTAATGATTTTGATAAATTAATTGTTTGTTTTAGAATTATCCCCTTGTCATGTGGTCGTTTGGTTGCACTGGCAGACGTCACTGTGTTTTTGTTAGCTGATGAGAAATCTGCTGCTGAGAAGAAGAAAAAAGGAGGCAATGCCATAGGTCAGAGGTCACTTTTCAAACATCTCATTGCAACCTTACTATAAAAGTGTTGAATCATAATGAATCATTTGGTTAAATGTGATGATTTTTGGTAACAAATTTAACCATGAAAAGTGTGCTGTGTTGGAATGACTCATGTGTGTTAACATTTCTGCCTGCAGATCCCTTCCTCCCGTTGAAAAAAGACTTGAACCTGGTGCACACAGACTTGACCAACACACCTGACAACGAGGTCAACTCCCAGGTGGTCAAGCTCCTCATTAAGATGGGGGTCAAACAGATGACCCCTCATGACCTGATCCACAGCCACATCATGCCAGTTTTAAAAACAGATGCCTGGAAGGTCAGTTGATGTCTGAAGACATTGTTGGTGTTGGTGGTTGGTGTCATTGTTGCTGTTGGTACATGAAGTCATTGTTGGTGTGCTGTTGTTTCTTTAGTGACCTTAACAAATGCTTGGAAGGTTTAAGTTACCCTTTCAAACCTGAAGGTCGATGGGGCAGGTGTTTTAGTGACCCTGGCATATGAAGGGATAGTGTGATCAGCTCTATGTCTAGCCACTTTTACTTTCCCTAACGTCAGTCGGGTACCCATCAGAGTTGGGTTGACTCCGAGATGTTTTGTAGGCTCAAACCCAGGATTCAAACTTGAGACTTTTAGGTTAGCTGTCCGACCAAATCATCACGGTTTAATATAGTAATGTTTTAAGAGCCACAAAACATTCTTAAGTAGCTTTATTATCACTTCTAAATTTAAATAAATAAAAAGATTTAAAAATAACAGGTAGATATTAAAACCACCATTGTTTTCAAGAAAAATTAAAAAAATAAAGTAACTATAACTAATTTGATAATTTTTTTGTGGTTTGTGTTTTTTACCAAGGAGAAACCAAGGAATGTGCTGATCAGTTTCTTGGCCTATGTGAAAGCTGAAATGGAGAAAAACCCATCTGTGGTGGACATGGCAGAGTTGCGGTCAGTTGCTAGACTGGTCACTAACCATGGGATCAAATCCCCCTCAGAAGATGACGTCCACTTCTCTACAGCCTTTGGGAACAAGATTGACCTGTGCAAAATTTTACCAGGTATATACAGCAGAGGCATTTTAAAAATTTTAACTTACTAATTGCTAAAATTGTTTAGGATATTTTACCAAATAACTGCATGTAGAGTTGGTTCATACTGATCTGAACTGAAGACGCTTAGGCTAGGAATCATGTGCTTTTTTGTTTTTTAAGTCTTTTTAGCCATTATTTCTACTCATGACTTTGGCAGGATTTGATTGGACACTGGTGGACTCAGCATATTTGCCCAGTTTTTCTACACAACAAGACAAGCAAAACTGGCACAACTTCCTGTCTGACCTGGGCGTGGTTGATACCTTCAAAGTCAGGAGAGTGGAGCTGAACTTTGACAAGAGCACCATTGTAAGAAATACTTTTCCAACTCCAATAGTTGCATGTATTAAGATTTTCCTCCATGTATAAATTCTGTTCTATTGTACTAAAAAAAATAGTAAAGTGTTCTTTTGAGATCTGAGGTCCATTTGATTGCTTTATATCGCTGCCACTACGACATACTCACTTCATCTTACACTTGTAAAAAATCAAATAAGAACATTTACTTACTATTTATGTGAGTTGAGTTAATTAATGTTAAATTTCTATTTTCTGTTGATGATGTGCAGCATGAAACTCCTTGGTCAACATACAAAGATGTCTGGCCCGACTCACCAGATGGCTACACCATTGTGGACTTCCAGTGTGAAGAGTTCCACCGCCTGGTTACAGCCAATCAGAAGCCTGACAGCTTGTACCATCAGATGATAGCAGTGTTTGAACTGCTGGACGCTGAGTGGAGCTCTAATTACAGGCGCTACGAACACACACAGCTCAAGTCACGGGCAGGGCATGTCCTGAAGGATGATATTCAGGTATTCTTTTTTATCCTCCTTTAAAAAAGATTCTCTTGTTACGCTGTGTATATTTTTAAAAAATTGGCTTAAAAGTGTAACCTTGTTTAAGTTGGAGCTGTTCAATCAATTTTCTGTTGTTGTTTTTGGCCACATGCACAATTATTAGCAGTTCATGTGCTCTGCTCCTATTTAAACCACATTATTTAGTTATGCTAAGTTTTGAACAAATTTTTTTAACCACTAGTTGTTTTTGAAGTGTTAAATTATCAAAATTTTAAAATCATTTCTGCATAATCCCAATTAATGCACTAATAATAATTCTTATATATTAAAAGTTTACGGGAAATTTTTCTATTCTTACTGAATGAAGTATTAATGAGTAGCTGTTGTTATTTTGCCACAGATATTAAAATTACTGTCTCTGGAAACTTTCTAGCTATGAAATTTTAGTCTTGAGTTAAATAGAGCTGTCTCGTAGTATCCGAAATATAAATTTGTTCAATAAATGGATAAAATGGCAACCTTATGTAATGAATTTGTGTAATTAATTTCAAAGATCATTTGAAGAATTCTGTAACAAAAAATTGATGTGAAAAAAAATTTCAGACATCTTTTGCTGTGTACTTGAAAACTCTGTGCTGGGTGCCGACCTTTGCCATGAAGGTCAAGGCCTCTGATGACTCTAAATCAGTGGATGTGCAGGAGACCCGTCTCTTACAGCTTCCTGCTGACCTGTACGCGAGGGACCCACATATACAACAGCTCCTGGCACATACAGTCCCGTACTTGGATGTGGACCCTCAGAAAAACAGCTCCTTCACAACGTTCTTACAGGTTGGTTCAGACAGTTGTCTTGCTAGGTTGGTTAGTTGTCTTGCTAGGTTGGTCAGTTGTCTTGCTAGGTTGGTTAGTTGTCTTGCTAGGTTGGTCAGTTGTCTTGCTAGGTTGGTCAGTTGTCCTGCTAGGTTGGTTAGTTGTCTTACTTGGTTGGTCAGTTGTCTTGCTAGGTTGGTCAGTTGTCCTGCTAGGTTGGTCAGTTGTCTTGCTAGGTTGGTCAGTCGTCTTTCTAGCTTGGTCAGCCAAATGTCCTGTTAGATTGTTCAGCTAGTTGTCTTCCTGATGTGATTTCCATTGATTAGGAAAGCTAGCCCCTCCCCATCCCCTTGTTCTGTGATGCCAATGTAGATACCCAGTAACTATAGATAGGTCTTATTGAACCGCTCAGTGAGAAGTCAAATGTCAAAAGACACTCTGATCAGAACAGAAGAAGTTTGAGGAGCTGAAACAGTCCATGAATAGTTTTTTTAAAGTAGAGAGAAATGTCACCAGGTTTTTTTTAATAGGGATAGGTTGCATAGATAGGCTGGAAACAGCATATGAAGGATAGTGTGGGCATCCATAAGCTCAGATGTCATCCAGAGATAGGTTGACTCTGTGATGTCTCACAGACACATGTCAAAACTCAAGGAACTGTTATGGTTAGAGGTCGTGCTCTCTACCACCCGGCCACCTCGTCCCATGTTCAATATGTCTCCCTATTAGTTTCATTGTGTTATACTCACTTAAGAGTTAAAATCTGTAGTAAGCATACAAAAGTGTAGGTATATTTTTAAAAATACCTTCTCTCTTTAAATGACAATAATGGAAGCCATTCTGAATATTTAAAAAACCAATGTCTACATTTTAAAATGACCATTTAACACTGAATGGAAACATCCTTAAAAGTTACCTTAACATTGATCTGTTTGCTTTTTTTTTAATATTAGGGGAGACTGCTCAAAACAGAAGCAAAATGATGAGCTTTCAGTTCTTACAATAAATTTGCAGCTTTTAAAATGCTGTTTGTCATATTGCAATAATTTATGATATAAGGTTACTACTATTTTGTATTATTATTTTGTTTTATTGCTCTCAAAAAGATAAAGACCCAAATAAATTTGGAGACTGCCAAGAATGCCTTGATCTCGTGGGGGGAGAGGGAGGTGGATCACCCAGACGTGCCTAAAGTATTCTGTTCCACACTCACACATATTAAAAATGTAAGTTGTTGATAAATTAGGTTTTTCACTGTTTATGTTTTTTTTTCAACACAAAGTACCACGCTCACACATATTAAAAATGTAAGTTGTTGATAAATTAGGTTTTTCACTGTTTATGTTTTTTTTCTACACAAAGTTCCACGCTCACACATATTAAAAATGTAAGTTGTTGATAAATCAGGTTTTTCACTGTTTATGTTTTTTTTCAACACAAAGTACCACCCTCACACATATTAAAAATGTAAGTTGCTTGATAAATCAGGTTTTTCACTGTTTATGTTTTTTTTCAACACAAAGTACCACGCTCACACATATTAAAAATGTAAGTTGCTTGATAAATTAGGTTTTTCACTGTTTATGTTTTTTTTCTACACAAAGTACCACACTCACACATATTAAAAATGTAAGTTGTTGATAAATTTGGTTTTTCACTGTTTATGTTTTTTTCAAACACAAAGTACCACGCTCACACATATTAAAAATGTAAGTTGTTGATAAATTAGGTTTTTTACTGTTTATGTTTTTTTTTTCAACACAAAGTACCACGCTCACACATATTAAAAATGTAAGTTGTTGATAAATCAGGTTTTTCACTGTTTATGTTTTTTTTTCAACACAAAGTACCACGCTCACACATATTAAAAATGTAAGTTGTTGATAAATTAGGTTTTTCACTGTTTATGTTTTTTTTCTACACAAAGTACAACGCTCACACATATTAAAAATGTAAGTTGTTGATAAATTAGGTTTTTTACTGTTTATGTTTTTTTTTCAACACAAAGTACCACACTCACACATATTAAAAATGTAAGTTGTTGATAAATTAGGTTTTTCACTGTTTATGTTTTTTTCAAACACAAAGTACCACGCTCACACATATTAAAAATGTAAGTTGCTTGATAAATCAGGTTTTTCACTGTTTTTTTTAACAAAGTATTAATTAAAATTGTTTAACTAAAGTATTGAAGTTTTCTTAATTTGACAGATATTTATATATTTACAAAATATTAGAATAGTGCAATCTTATTTCATTATTGCACATATCACTTTAATTGTTAAAATTTTGTTATGCCATTTTTAGCACAAAACGTGGATAAAGTGTATGCAGCCTACATCTACAACACTATTTTGTTCTTCTTTCTTGGCTTGTATTAAAAAATTAATTATAAATTGTTTAAATGATTCCACACTTGCTTCATATAAAATTATGACTTACAATAAGTTATTCCATCTTTCTGACAAATGTTAAATTTATTTTTAGCTGTACCTCTACCTTAATGAAGAACTGAGAGGTAAAGATACTCAAGATCTTTTCCACAATCACCCCATCATATTTGTACCAAACACAGAGCGGGGCACCAGCACGGACATCTACCCTGGCTTGATGATGAGGAGAGAGGAAGTCTGGTGGTCAGACTCTACTGGTCTCTTTCTCAAATACAGCAACACACTACACATGTACAAGTCTCCCTTAAACAAATTTAAGATTGTAAGTGGAATAAGTAAATACACTACACATATACCAATCACCGTTGAAAAAAATCATTATTGTAAGTGAAACAGTATTTTGTAAGGAATCATGTAGTGACACAACATTTTAAGATAAGAAATTATTTCATTATCAAAATTTGTCATCTAAAATTTAAACTTGAAAGGTGAAAGAAACAAAAATTGTTTGCTTTACAATATTTTACAATTTTTGTTCCTAGATCAGGCATATATACTCAGACCTGGAAGAAATGTTTACTAGCAAAATTAGAGTGGAAGCTGAGCCCACCTCCGTCCAGTTTGCTCAGCTGTTGAAACAGATAGCCACTGTCCACACACTGACAGAGGATGGTGTCCTTGAGGACATTTTGCTTTTGTTCTCTAAGATTGGCAAGGACCTGAGTTCGAGGACAGAAATTGTTGCAGGTGTGTGAAAGTTGGGTTTACGTAGTTTTTAATGACAGATGATAACAATTGGTAAAAAGTGTTTTACTAAAAATTGTAAAATTAGTTTTTTTTATAGATCTTTAAAGTTATACATTCAGTTTTATTGATGTTATTATTTTTTCTAATTTTAAAATATACAAACATTTGTTAGTTATTGAATATACTACAGAAACAACAACTAAATAGCGGCCTATGATATGCCGCGGGTCGGCTCGTTATTATTAATTTTGTGAGTAAACAAATAAAAAAATTTCAATAATTTTTTTCTAATTAGTGTACACAAATTATTTTTTAATCATTGTTTTAACATTAATTTTATACACAATAAAAAAAATTATTAAATAGTTAAGTAGTTGAATACAGAATTTCCAATATTCAACTACTTAACTATTTAATAATTTTTTTTATTGTGTATAAAATTAATGTTAAAACAATGATTAAAAAATAATTTGTGTACACTAATTAGAAAAAAATTATTGAAATTTTTTTATTTGTTTACTCACAAAATTAATAATAACGAGCCGACCCGCGGCATATCATAGGATGCTATTTAGTTGTTGTTTTTTTCTACTTTTCAGTTATTCATAATTTGTGAATTCGACACTACCAACGCTGCCACTGAAAATATTTCTTTAAAACACTATAAGTAGCTCGTTAAGGACGATAACCCCCCCTCCTCCCCTCCCCCCCCTCTGTTAAAGTAAACTCCACTTAGTTAACCCCCTCCCCCCTTACGTTTAAAATCGTTACAAACTAAATTATCTGCCCCTAATAGTCGTCACTAAACCCGGCTCTGTTTGTAAACATTTAGCGTGAACCACAGTTCACCAGACTATGTAGGGGTGGTGGTGGTAGGGAATGCGTTTACATCTTTTTTTCTAGCGTCACCCAGAAGAGAATTATATATATAGATTATATTTGAGCAAACATATTACACTTAATAATACATTTTTAGATACTTAAATAATGTCATTGTGTGTACTTTGAAGAGGGAATTAATTTATTTTATAAAAATCTCAATTTTAGCAATCTACAAAAGGTAGAGAATTGCATAGAAAGCTTTAAAGCACACCACTTATTTTTTTTTCACATGGTTTACTGTACAAAATATTTTCCAAATTTCAGGTCAGAAAACAAACGATGCCCTGAAGGCTGAAGTCAACCTCCCCAAAGTTTTGGACCTGTTGAAAAAGGCGGCCATCTTCCCCACAAAACTAGACCAGTGGGTCAGTCTGAGTGACCGTCCCATGATTGCAGACTCCACAGAGTTGGAGGAAATGTTTTTCAATAAACCAGGAGTCCACTTTCTTCAGCTGAAGACTAAACAGGCTGGAAAATTCCATAATGACAATTCGGGTAGGTTTCAGATTATATTTAGCTAACATATAGAAACTGGTATTACTTTATTACTTGTGTCGTGTATTACTTGCATAATATAAATGTACATTACATCAAAAGTTGTTACTGAAAAACAATTTTAAAGAAAATATCTAAAGCAAGCTAAAAGTTCTTATTAAAAGCAGTTTTTTTTCATACAACCACCAAGGTATAAATTAAAAGCAAACTTGTCAAACTCACTAGTAAATAATTACAAAATTAAATGGTGTAACAAGTGAAAGCATAAAATCACAAATACGATTTGTTTTAACATTTTGTTATCATATAACTTGACATAAGATAGTGGACACATACATGTCCAGACATTGTGAAACGAAGATGGTGGGTCACATTAGAGCTAGATGAACTCATTGATGCAACAGACTGAAAATCAAAACTGATGTTGGGCTTTGCAACAACACACTCAGTCCTTTGACCACTCACCCCATAATTATGTACATATTTGAATAAAACCTATAAATTATGTTTGAAAATGTCAAATCCCCGCAGGAATGAAAGAATCTCTGAACCATTTTATCCACCTGTTTGAGGAGATCAAGCCACTGAGTGAGTGTGTGGATTTGCAAGAGATCACACCAGGCTTCCAACAGTGCAACAAGGGCCAGCTGTATCTGCACAACATTATCGGCCTGCTGCAGAGGTTCCTCTATTTCACATTCCCCAAGGTCTACCAGCTGGTCAAAGAAAGGAAAGGAAACACATTGAAAGAGTTTCTCTTTAGTCAGGTATGAGAAGTATTTTTTAAGACCCTTGTGCATCATTTGTTGTTCTCAATTATTGTCAATTTTCTATACACTCTAAAATAGAACTGCTTTAAACTAATTGACAAAAATTTAACCTTTTTGACTGCCATTCAGGACTGGACATTCCTTTATTCTAATTCACACACTGCCATTATTCTCCTATTTATTTATTTCTCTAACTAGTAGTTTAGTAAGTCTTATTCAAGCATCAAACAAAAAGAATTCAGTCACTTCATATTTATAGGGAGTTGAATGTCAAAATGATGTACCAATTATAACATAAATTCTAAGAAAGCTTATTTTTGTTTTTTTATATATTTTATATAAGCTTAGTGTTTGATGATCCAAATAGTAGTTATATACATGCATGAAGCATCTATTCTAGCCAATGTAATACAGCTATAGTTATCACAATTCATTCTCGTGATCTGCTTTTGGGGTGAAAATTTGAATGACATACTTAATTATCTGTTTACTAGATTGGAGTTTTTAGAATCAAACCTACTTGCATGAGGAGCAGAGTGGTTAAAACACTTATATTTAAATCTTTAAAAAATGAGTTTATATTTTTAACAAAAACTTGTAATTAAATCTTTAAAAAATGAGTTTATATTTTTAACAAAAAAACTTGTAATTAAATCTTTAAAAAATGAGTTTATATTTTTAACTAAAAACTTGTAATTGAATCTTTAAAAAATGAGTTTATATTTTTAACTTGCCAGGTTGAACACTTGGAAGTCAGATATGAATTAACTGGCAGGACTGATGTCTTTGAGATCAGAGAAGAAAAATGTATCGTCAAAGACAAGTGCTTTTATTTCCATGAGAAGTACGTCTCTAGTCAGGTTGAAATCAACAAAGAAATAGCCAAGTATTTTTCTGAAGGAAATGAAAAATGTTTCAGAGAACTGAGGTAAGAAACAAAAATGCAATTTATGAATTTTAGTTACTTAAATTTTTCACCATTGAATATTTAACCTAATTATTCAAAAGCCAATACATTAATATTAAACGTTTGAAATAATGTTTGTTAAATAGTTGGGTTAATTGTATTTTTGTGTCCTTAAAAAATATTTTTAGACATTAAAGTTAGCTTTTTGAGTTTTGCTGTTGTGTATAACTAGATCAAAACCCTTGCAGGTTTAAAGATATTCTGTGTGTATTTAAAAATAAAAATACACTTGTTAGTTCATGTTCAATCACTTTTTTTAAATTAAATTTTTTTTTAGGAGTTTTTTGTCTCAAGCCGTGCCTATCCTGGAAGGAACATCGGAGGAATCCATTGAAAGCCTGCTGGCTCGTCAGACAAAAACTATAGGCCCTCTGCCACCAGGGGAAACAATATGGGAAATCCCACTTCCCATAATTCCTGTGGCTCCTGAACCAGAACCAGTTCCTGAGATGATGTACTATGGCAGAGGTGAATGCCCTTGAAACTCTTCACATCAATTCTACTCTTCTTTCTTCTTTTTCGTTCTTAATTGTAATATCATAGAGAATTCCCTCCAACACAATTAAGCATTATATGTCAATTTGTTATGCATCTTTTGGCCCTTTGATGCTGAATTAAGCTGCTTTTCTTTCTGGATTTGGTTCTGTAGCCTATAACCACCCAAGAACTATCAAGACAACGGTTATTTGATTTGTAGTTTTATCTGCTAGATGGTTGTCTGCTAGCGTTTCATCTGCCAACTTGGAACTTTTGGAGTTAGCAGTCATGCATACTCCTAGTTATGACTTGAATCTAAAATTGTAACCATAGCTGATCTCTCTCGTCTTAACACTTCTCTCTTATTTGACATCAACAGCCTTGTCAATCCCTGACCCAGAGGCCATTGCCAATAATGGAAGTGAAGAAACCTCTCAGTTAAAGTCCTGGCCTCCAAGAAGTTCAATTGATCAAGTTCCCAAACCAAGGAGAGGTAATCCCAACTCGACGCATTTTGCTTTTTTTTTAAAATTTATTTTAAAAAGTTAGTCATTGAGAGCCTGTTCCTTTTGTTAAAAATCTGTTTAAATAATGCAATTTTTTTTTTTTTTGAAAAATTTCACAGGTTAAAAATGCCGTAAAAAAATTTCTTGCCAATTTCGTGTAAAATTTTAAAGTCCTGCTTGATATAAGCCTACATTTTTTCATTAACAAGACTTTCTGTTTGTTTTCTTTTCGATGTTTGGTTTGAGAATTTCTCAGGTAAAAAAACTGTTGATTTGTTAAAATTACTGTCCAGCTACAGACCAGAATAAAGCCCCCTCGGGGATCTGGCCGCCCCCTAAAGCCCCACAGGGGGCCGCCAGTGTGTCCAAGCTGCCCAGCAATATCAAGTTTGAGAGGTCAGAGGGCGAAGGTGACCAAGATCCCTCAGCCAGGGCTGCCAGTCAGCAAGTGCCCCACACAGGAGAAGGGAGGGGGGCAGAAGGTCAAACAGTTCATAGGCATATGCCCCATACAGGGGAGGGGAGAGATAGTGAAGGCCATGCCTTACAGAGGCAGGTGTCAGACAGGGGAGAGAACTCTAACCCAACTCCAAGACAGTCTGAAGGTCAAGGTCACCCCCACGGTGATGGTTCAGTCCGTGTGTACAGGCATGGTGATGGCCCACCTCACCCCCACCCTGGCAACAAGGATCCCGCCCCACTAGATGGCCCGGCCCAGGTCTTGTCTCGACGTGACAGCGCCGAGGAGGGCGAGGGCGTGTTGACAGGTGAAAAACGTAGGTGTTCCTGCTTTCTGCTGTTTCTTAGCACTGTTACCATCCAGTCAGAACCCACTAACTCAAGGCTGTTTCTCAAACAGCTTTTTTTGTTTAGGAATTGCACTTAAGTGTGGCTAGGATGGTCAGTTGCCCAGTCAAATAAAGGGGTCCCAATAGCCAACAGTCCTTAATGATCAAAATTTTTAAATTTTAATATCATATTTCTTAATCTTATATTTTGGCTATTTTGACAATTCCTGAAGGTATGCATAGCAAAAAAATATCTTTTGGTGTCAATTTTGTAATCTGTTTTTTTTCTCCAATTGGAAATTCGATTATTATTCCAGTTTATTCAATATTTTGCTAATAGATAATGTGTATATAATAAAATATTTTTTCATGGAAGTTTAATTCTGAGTTTTCTTCATTTTGTCAATTTTAAGGTAAAGAACTCAGGAAGAATCATTGTAACCCAAAATATGTTTATCAAAATTTACTTCAAATTCCACTTTGTAATTTGTAAAAAGGGTTTTGCTGTATTTCAATTTTTAAAAAGTTGTAGAATTTTTTTTAGTAGTTTTAAACAAAAATTATATGATAAAAATGTACCTTTCAAAATAAGTCCCTAAAAATTGATTGTTGGATATCCAAATTTCCTTCTGATATTTTATCTTTTACTTTGTGCAGTAACAGTAAGTATGTGCACAGTAAAGTACTTTGCATTTCTATCAGTAATTTTTTTTGTTATTTATATTCTACTGTACACCTGAAAATTGTTTGACTCCACATATGACTAAATATTTGTAAATTGGCTTGATCAGTAAATACATTTATATGTCTGAAGTATTTAAAGTTAATTAACTTAAATTTAAATATACCCTTTTATGGTATCCTTTCTAACAAATGGGTTTTCACTACTGGTATGCCCTCTGTGTACTTTGTTATTGAACTGTAATAAGTTCGTCCCATCCTGTTTGTCTCTAGCTGGGACCCACCATTCTCTTCGTGGCTGGTAGTAAGTGGCTGAGTGATAATAGTGGGTTTGTCTGTGTGGCTTCAGTGCTTTATGCTTGGCTTTTTTAATCATAGTAGATGTTACATTTCTGTTGTTTGTCATTTTATACTCTTTATAATTTTTTTTTTGAGTTTTTAAAATATTTTAATTTCTAAATAGTCATGTCCTGATCATTTATTTAACTGTAGGTAGTAGTTTTTATTTTTAAAATCATAACTACCATACACCAGCCATTCAAAGATATATTTATTCTCTACATAATGTTAAAATAATCTGTGCTGTCAAAATTAACTGAGATTTTTTTTTTTCTAATATGTAAAAGATTTATAATATTATGTTTTTAAAAATAAATCTTGAAATGTGTCTAGATCTGTTTAATATTTTCAACTTGGGACCCTAATCTAGCACTTTCTGTTTTGACAGTAAATGCACCCATTGTATTCCTTTTTAAAAAACTATTTTAATATACTTTTATCTTTATAACTTTTTATATTTTTTAACAATTTTTTTTATTATTACTATTTTGAAACTGCTTATTGTGATATATATTTTTCAAACCTTACAAATATGACACTGATAATGATAATAAAACTCATCACCCAACCCAAAACTATGCTCTGTAACAAAAATTCAATATGTTTTCTCAGTGCACATTTTTACATTTGAATGTTTACTAAAATTATTTTACTGACACTAGTACGACCAAAACTACCTGATTCTGACACCATGACTTTGTTTTGACAGCCTGATAGGTGACTCTGTTGTCTTACTGCATGTATTTCATAAAACATTTTAGTTAGCAATTTTTACAAAGTGAATTATTTTTTTTTTTACTTCTACCCAAATTTCTTATTGCTTTGATATGCTAAACATTTTTTTGGAAACCTGTTAAAAAGTTGTTAAAGTCATTTTCAGCTATTTCTGTTTCCTCAGCATATAGATGGGTTGTGTGGTTAAAATGTTCTTTAGCTATTTACCTGCACAGTTAAAGATGGGAGGACTCAAATAAACTTATTTATGGATCAGGCACAAACTTAGGGTCATAGATTTGAACCTTTGATCTTCCAATGTGTGCTCTTATGTTTGACCAACTCTACCCCACTTAAACCTATTTCCTGAAAATTTTTTTTGAAATAATTCTTCTTACCAATCTCTGAAAACAGACTCTTGTATAATGTAGGGGTGTTAGGCTGTTACTAGTAAAAAAGTATCAGTTCATTTTGTTGTGTTAACATGTTAACATTACCCAACAATACACTGCTAGTAATATAGCATGATCCCCCTTGGTTTAGAAGAGTCCATTGGTTTGTTGTTCAGGCCCTGGTACAAAATGACTCAATGTTTACAATGTCTACTGCAGGTAAAAGGAAGCTTACGGAAGGTTCTAGGTCGGAGGAGACCATAGCCATGAAGAGGCCAAACTCAATGGAGGAATCCCCTGATATGATCACTGAAACTGAGGTGAGTCAGTACAGACTTCTTAACTCTATTTTGTAAGGGGTGTATCCATTTATGTCAACATAAAAAGGGAAACTGAAACTGAGGTGAGTCAGTACAGACTTCTTAACTCTATTTTGTAAGGGGTGTATCCATTTATGTCAACATAAAAAGGGAAACTGAAACTGAGGTGAGTCAGTACGGACTTCTTAACTCTATTTTGTAAGGGGTGTATCCATTTATGTCAACATAAAAAGGGAAACTGAAACTGAGGTGAGTCAGTACGGACTTCTTAACTCTATTTTGTAAGGGGTGTATCCATTTATGTCAACATAAAAAGGGAAAGGTGAACGGGAGTGGGTGTGTGTGTGGAGGGGGGGGGGGGGGGTGACCACATAGATGCCAGTTTTGAAGTTAACATTTATATGCTACAACAAACACAAAGTGAGGAGTTCATTTGCAAAACCTGCTTAGTCACTTCTGACTGATTTTGAGGAAATTGACTTTAAAACTTTTTTTCTTGTTAACTAACCTTATAATTATTTACTGTTAAGAAATTTATTTTATATTATACCATTTAGAAGACAAATTAGTATACAATTTAAATTGCCACTTAATTGAGAAGGCTGTTTAGAATATCTCTTTTTTTTTCTTTCAAAAATTGGACTAAGCAGGTTTTTCAAAAGGACACCTCAATCGAAGTGTAATGCCAATTTATCTTAACATATCAGGCTAGCATTTTTAATGTTTTTCTGACTAAAGTTAACTAAGATTGTATAACATTAAATTACAATGTTTGTAAATGATTCTGTGTTCTTGTAGCAGGCCAACAGTGGACCTGTAGCAGACACACAGCGCCATATTGTAGCCTGGGGTGAACCACTTCCAAGATCTGCTGCCTCTAGCAGGGAGATAACTCCATCTTCCTTGAGCAGGGAAACAACCCCCTTGTCTTTTAGTGCCAACCAGGAGATGAGAAAAGCTAGAAATAAAGACATGATTCACTTCAGTAGGTTTTATTTGAAACTTGTCTAACATTTTAAAATGATTTGGTTTATTTAAGCCACATTGTATTAAAACTATTTGGTAAAAAAATAGTGTAGTTCCCCTTTACCCACAAAAACATTAAATATTTTTAATTCAGATAGTCCTATATAGTGTCTGTAATTAGCACAAAATATTATATGCTTTTAATGCAGTTATCATCTCATGTAATGATAATTATAAAATTATTTAAAAATATTATTTCTTTAATTTAGAATATAAGTAATGGTATCCATTTTACAGGAATTTCTCACACCACTGTCTCATGTCTGTACACTCCCCAGGCATACCACTGTCTCATGCATGTCCGTACACTCCCCAGGCATACCACTGTCTCATGCATGTCTGTACACTCCCCAGGCATACGACTGTCTCATGCATGTCCGTACACTCCCCAGGCATACCACTGTCTCATGCATGTCTCTACACTCCCCAGGCATACCACTGTATCATGCATGTCTCTACACTCCCCAGGCATACCACTGTCTCATGCATGTCCGTACACTCCCCAGGCATACCGCTGTCTCATGCATGTCTGTACACTCCCCAGGCTTACCACTGTCTCATGCATGTCTCTACACTCCCCAGGCATACCACTGTCTCATGCATGTCCGTACACTCCCCAGGCATACCACTGTCTCATGCATGTCTCTACACTCCCCAGGCATACCACTGTCTCATGCATGTCCGTACACTCCCCAGGCATACCACTGTCTCATGCATGTCTGTACACTCCCCAGGCTTACCACTGTCTCATGCATGTCCCTACACTCCCCAGGCATACCACTGTCTCATGCATGTCCGTACACTCCCCAGGCATACCACTGTCTCATGCATGTCTGTACACTCCCCAGGCATACCACTGTCTCATGCATGTCTGTACACTCCCCAGGCATACCACTGTCTCATGCATGTCCGTACACTCCCCAGGCATACCACTGTCTCATGCATGTCCGTACACTCCCCAGGCATACCACTGTCTCATGCATGTCCGTACACTCCCCAGGCATACCACTGTCTCATGCATGTCCATACACTCCCCAGGCATACCGCTGTCTCATGCATGTCTCTACACTCCCCAGGCATACCACTGTCTCATGCATGTCTGTACACTCCCCAGGCTTACCACTGTCTCATGCATGTCCCTACACTCCCCAGGCATACCACTGTCTCATGCATGTCCGTACACTCCCCAGGCATACCACTGTCTCATGCATGTCCGTACACTCCCCAGGCATACCACTGTCTCATGCATGTCCGTACACTCCCCAGGCATACCACTGTCTCATGCATGTCCGTACACTCCCCAGGCATACCACTGTCTCATGCATGTCCATACACTCCCCAGGCATACCGCTGTCTCATGCATGTCTCTACACTCCCCAGGCATACCACTGTCTCATGCATGTCCCTACACTCCCCAGGCTTACCACTGTCTCATACATGTCCGTACACTCCCCAGGCATACCACTGTCTCATGCATGTCTGTACACTCCCCAGATATACCACTGTCTCATGCATGTCCCTACACTCCCCAGGCATACCACTGTCTCATGCATGTCCCTACACTCCCCAGATATACCTTTGTCTCATGCATGTCTGTACACTCCCCAGATATACCACTGTCTCATGCATGTCCCTACACTCCCCAGGTATACCACTGTCTCATGCATGTCCGTACACTCCCCAGGCATACCAGTGTCTCATGCATGTCTGTACACTCCCCAGGCATACCACTGTCTCATGCATGTCCGTACACTCCCCAGGCATACCAGTGTCTCATGCATGTCCGTACACTCCCCAGGCATACCACTGTCTCATGCATGTCCCTACACTCCCCAGGCATACCACGATGGAATGAAACCAATGAAGACCTGGCCTACACAGAGCTGGCCAGGGCGGACACACTGACCCTGCCACCCAAAGTACTTGAGCCAGAGGCCCTCGACAAGGACATTGGCCTGTGGGGGGAGATGCTTGTGCTAGACTATTTGGTTCGCCACAAGGAATCCAACAGCGACATAGAGGCTGTACTGTGGACCAATGTTGACGGGGAAAAAGGTCTACCGTATGACTTTGAGATTGTGTTCAAGAGTGGGGAGCCTGATACATTTCACTCTGTCTTTGTTGAGGTAATGACCTGTTTAATTGTATGTTTCACTCACTGTCTATATGTTAATTAAGGTAATGACCATTTTACATAATACATTTCACTGCGTATGTCTTGAGATAATGACCATTTTAATTGGATTTATTTCACTCTATGTTGAAGTAATGACCAGTTTAATCGTGTTTAACACATTGGTTCCCATTCGCAATTTAGGAAAAAAACAAACAATTTTAATTGTCAATGGACTTTTCCTAGGGAAAAATTCTTTGTCCTATTTTTGTTCAATATTTGCTGTGTGATAGTTATATAGTTTATTTTCATTTGGCAATGTTTGGCTTGGGTCTAAGACATCCCCATCCTCTGATAATTAACCCCCAACTATGTCATTACCTCAGATCAATTTCCCCCTTTACTCTATCAAAAACCCCTAAGCAGAACTGTTAACCTATAAATCTTCATATCCAGGTAGTTTACTACAAAGGGTATACTAGTAAAACTTTCCTATGTGTTGTCTGGTCTCTTTTATACAGTGACATTAGGTCTAAACAATTCTCTGAGTTAGTTTTCTTTTAATCTTCTTCATGTTCTCTAAGTAAAGCCATAACAAACAGGCATGTAAAGCAATGGTAACTTAATTCCCCTAGGTGAAAGCAACGCTGAGCTGGGACAAAGAGGTGTTCCATGTCTCATCCAAGCAGATCGAGTTTGCTCTAGCCATGAAAGACAAGTACGAGATCTTCAGAGTGTACGGGGCTGGCAATACAAACTCCAAGTTGGTGCGGGTGGAGAATGTGGCTGAACGGATGCGAGTTAAGCAAGTCAATCTATTTATGGTGCTGTAGTGTAGCTTATGGTTGTATTACTATAGTTTTTATCATCATGGTTGTACTAAAATATTTCTTTTGTAATTAACATTTTTACTTGTATATTTCTGTTGAAATAAGATTTTAAATTACAAATGCAGCAATGTAAAAAATTTTTGAAATTGTTTTGTAAAAAATTTCTACATTTTTATCATGCTATAATTAATTATTGGTTTGTAAAAAAAATACAAGTCAACATTTTTATTATTTTATTTTAACTCTTTTATTTGATTATTGTTTATTACACTTATTAAAACTTGGAAAGTTTTCCAGGGAATTATTAATATTGTTATCAATTTTAATTCCATGAAAGAGATTGTAGTAAATTTTTGAATGATGTTCTTTTAAAATGCAAAAATGCTAAGTTAAAGAAATTTCATTTTAAATTCATTTAAGATGTTTTATAATTAAAAAAATCTGGAAAATTAATTTTACATGTAAATTTCTTCAATGATTAAAGTTAAAAAAAAATACCACTCCATGTTAACTTAAAAAATTTCATATATTTAGTTAAGATAGTTTATAATAAAAAATCTGGAAAATTTATTTTACATGAACATTTCTTCATTGAATAAAAAGAATACATTTCTTTATGCTATAGAAATATTTTCTAGAAATATCAGAACCATCTGAGTAAAAATAAAATTTAATATAGAATTTAATTGGATTAAAATAAAAAAAGTCTATCTGTGGAGGCCACATTCCCCCTGTTCCATATTGATGAGATTTTAAGTGCAATGAAAACTTGAAATCACAAAATATTGCATTCAAAGTCTTTCATTGCAGTATTATGTGGTAAATTATTTTATACTTTAATAAATGTTTTTTATTTTGTAACATGATTGCTTGTTTAAAATAAAAATAAATCATTTTTAGCATCAGCTTTGCTTAAATATGTTTATAAAAAAATGTTTTATTTTGTATTATGAAACTGAATAAAAATATTTGTTTTGTTTTTCTTTGTGTTGATTGTCATTAATTTTGTCAGATTATATGAAGTATGTTTTAAGTATGTTTTAAGTTAAAGGTAAGGCAACTATTTCATAAAAAGCTTTATTAAGGAAAACTGAATTATTCTGCACGTTTGTAGAAACTGTTAGTTTTTAAACACAATTTTTACTATTTGTGTGTCTTTACTACAGTTACTACTTACTTAGAAATCAAGAACCGAGTCCACTGCTCCCTAGCGAAAAATAGATTTTATGTAAAAATATATACATGAACTCTACTTCATTTATTGTAGGTTCACTGCTGTAACAGGGGGGTGGGTGCCGGGTGACACCATTTAATGGGTGATACCACGACAAAAAATAAAAAATTGTACTGCTAAAATAACAATATGATAGGGGTGACATGAACAAACAAAAAAAGTAAATTGGGGGGGGGGGGGGGGGGTGACACCCTACCTAGAGACGCCATTGTGTAGCCAGAGTTTCTTCCAAGCATCTCTTCGGGGGGTGGGCTCCGCCCCATATATATATATATATATATATATATATATATATATATATATATATATATATATATATATATATATATATATATATATATATATAGGGGTGTGAGTTAATGGGAGGGGTTATTACCCCCCCCCCCCCCCCTTGCCTATGCCACTGGTCTGATCCTTCTGATAGGACCAAGTGTTGAAGATGCTTGAATCTAGATCTACTTCATCACCAGACACAATGCAGAAGTCACGTCTGATGTGATACCCTAGATCAGTGGTTCTAAACTTTTTGGACTCAGTAAACTCCATCAGTTGCTGATGCGCATTCAACGAACCCTTCTTAATAGTTGTATCGTTTGCCCTTAGAAAATCCGATCGCTAATCATTTGAGTGGGGGGGTGTGTCTTGGCCTCCGCCAAACCCCTGAGACTGACTCACCGAACCCCTGGAGATCGATCGGACCCAGGTTAAGAATCACTGGCCCAGATAATGTATCGGACAAGAGGTTTTTATCAAACTGTACTTTGATACATTCAACAACGTCAACTTATATCTAATTGCTATATCTCTCCGCTGATATGAAAAGTTAACGTAGTGTAAAGTAAATGCTTACTGTCCCATTACTTTGAAATTGAAATAAGTCGAATTAGAAGAAAAAACGCGTATTTGAATGGTATCCCCCCCCCCCCCCCCATAGTGGCTTCACTAAGTCGGATACAGAGTTTCTTCCAGGTATATTTTTTTTACCGCCCCCTAACGAAATGAAATTTATATAATTTATATAGACAATATATAATTTTAACAGTGTCCGCCCCCCCCCCCCCCCCGAAGAAAGTCTACCGCCCCCCCCCCCCCCCCGAAAATTTCCGGAGAAAAAAGTCTGGAAGAAACACTGGTCGGATGACGCTCTATGCTGTATAGGCCTACCCTGTATATATTTTTTTTACTGCAAAGGTTAAAAAAAAAATATTCGTGATTATTTTGTTTAAAGCCGTTGACCAACACCGAAATCGTGTAGGCCTATACAAATTAGAACCAAACTCGAAATCGCACGGAACCGGATCAATAACCATATAAATTAATATAAAGGGTACACAAAAGCCCTTAGAAATTACTTAGATTGTATCCAAGCAAATAAAAAATATTATGAACTGAATAAGGGCAGAGGCGTAGATAGATTTTCGCGGCTGGGGGTGAGGTTAGCCAGTATAAAATTTATATTTTAGAATGCGCCTTTTACCAATAATATAGGTTACATCAGGCCTATTTGGAAAGAGCTTCATTCCCATCAAATGACGCCATTCTCAGCTAATCACCCACCCCCCCCACCCCCTCAAAGACAAATTTTTGTTTTTAAACAGCGATTTTTAATACATTTTTTTTTACTAAACTCTCACTGGGTAGCGTCTAGGCCCACGGAAAGAAAAAAAAAGAGAAAAAAAAATCTTTCTAAAATACGAACTATCGGCTAAAATTGTGTTTCAGACATTGCTTTTCAAAATGCTAATATATGATGCCACAAGCCCCGCCCCCTTTACCAAAGTCCGAATATCACCTTTTGTATGTGAGTGACGTCGTTTATGGATGACCCCTAATTCTTTTTTTAAAACTCTTATTCGTCGATGTTAATACACAAACAATAACACTAATAACAAAGCGAAGTAAACCCGGGTCTTACCACACACACACACACACACACTAAGTATAAAAATGAGGATATGAAACTTGCACTTTAATTTTTAGCCCTAACCCAACCATGACTCTAACCAGTGTTTCTTCCAGACTTTTTTCTCCGGGGGGGCACTTGAAATCTTCGGGGGGGCGGTAAACTTTCTTCGGGGGGGCGGACACTGTTAAAAGTATATATTTTCTATATAAATTATATAAATTTCATTTCGTTCGGGGGGGCGGTAAAAATTTTTCGGGGGGGCTTCGCCCCCCCGAAGAGATGCCTGGGAGAAACTCTGACTCTAACCCTAGCCTGAAGCCTAACAGTAGTCGCGGATAGGAGTTGATAGGATAGGGGGGAGGGGTGGACGATACTGATACTTTTTTTTTCTAGATAAATGATATAATTTTTCTATTTCGTTCAGGGGGTGGGGGTGGGGGGAGAGCAATGTCTGAGGGTGGGGTGGTAAAGAAATGCTGGTGTCTTTTCTGGAAAATCCCTCTGGGTTTTTTTTTATTGTTGAAAATATTAATTCTATAAACATTGGTTATTGCGATACGATTGTTTTAGTTATTTGTAACAATTTGCCCTCCTATTGCGTGTATACGCAGTAGCGTAGCCAGAGGAGGGCGGGTGGGGCGGCCGCCCCGGGCGCTGACGTTAAATGGGCGCCAAAAGGGGTAGAAATATAAATAAACTGCTAATTTTGAGATGCATTATTTTATTATACATTGTTAACTTTAAGACTACTACTTGGGTTAACAGACATATTAAACTTTCCTAAATCGATTATGTGTCACTAAATAAAAAAAATGTTTAAATACAGTGACTGGTAAAAAGTGTGTGTGTGTGTGGGGGGGGGGGGGGGGCAAAATTAACAGTTCGCCCGCGGTTGCCAGAATTGGTCGCTACGCCTCTGTGTATACGCCACTGTTAGGAATATTAGAATCTCATTCTTGGGCCTAATTTTTTTAATACACGTTGTAACAAGATTTGATCTGTCGCGACAAAGACAAGCACATGGCGTGGCGTTGGCAGGTATAGTTTTGAGTTAGATCTAGAAATCTAGGTGTATTAGCTCTAAATATATTGAAAAAACCAAAGTTTTCTTTAAAAAGGCCATGGAAACATAAAACAATCTGTTAGTCAATTTATTATTAGGCTAAAAACAAATAAAATAGATATTTAGGACGTTTCTGTTATCGTGTATTTCAACCGGTTTCTAAAAATAGTCGAGGCGTATGCCAAAAAGATATCTAGATCTAGATCTAGATAGAATGATCTATTTTACCCAACATTCAGCTCTACAAGTAAGTAACGTTAAATAGGGGCATCCATATTTAGAAAATAATGTAGGCCTATTAATTAACTAATTTTTAGTCTACTAACCTAACTAAAGCTAGATCTATAGTTAAAAACCTAACAGAAATGTAGCATTATGAATTTAAAAATGCTATTAAAATACTTGGCTTTGGAATTGGTGTTGCCAAGCTTTGCCTGGACTAGTTGTAAATCTAGCGTCGTAGTTACTATTATTACTATTCTAGGTCTAGAATCTAGATTTTAGATCTAGATCTAGATCTACTAGATTCTAGTTAGTCTTTTTTGCTCAGTTAAAACGATTTTTGTGTGGGAGAAGTTTATAAGGAGTTGAGGCCCAGTCTAAAATAAATTTTATCAGGTTAATAGATTTAGGCCTATATTATATAAAAAAAAATTATTTTTATTAGGCCTGTCCAATAGAATAGTGAATAGACTCTTGGGACTTCCATAAAATAAAAAATAAAAAAGTGTGTTGGGTTGTTAGTAGTATTGTAATCTCGACTAATTTTATGGTTAGAAATTATGGTTAGGTATATGGACAGTATGGTAGGACCAGGGTTGGGGTTAGGGACAGGGTTTGCATTGACATGTCATTAGCCAGCATGTGTGTTGTATTTAGTTAACTAATAACTACCAGTAACACCCCTGTTTAAAGAAGATTCTATTATTGGACACCAGTGTAAAAATTCTCCCCAAACTTTTAATGTTCTAAAAGAAGTGAGATGACATTTTTGTATAAATAATCACAAGAGCATAAGTCAATAACCCGTTTTGAAAATACCATTTTTAATTTAGCAAAATCAAAATGTAGCCATGTTTTTAGTTCATTTAAAAGCTTAGTTTAAAAACTTTAATAGATGCACAATGCTATTTCAGAACCAGAATTGGAAACACAGTCGTCCCCACAAACACAGCTAATGCAACATTCCTCCACCTGGTATACAACAGCCCACACCACTTCAGTGCATCGAAACAGCCCTTTGTCTTACAATGTTGGGCTATAGAC